CCACAGTAAAAGAACAATCAAGCAGAGTACAATAGAGTTAAAGGACTACAGACACCCAACATCATAAAATTAAAGTGCTTCAATAATGGAGAATAAAGTTATGGTAGAGGGTGACTTACAAATTGGTCTGATGCTTCTTCCCCTGGGTATGTGCTAAGTAACTCCCCTGAAATAAAAACCAAGGTAGAAGTTATGAAGCCATGACTGAAACATTCCTGTCACAGGGTGATTGCATCACTCCCTGGCAAGGGTGTTTTAATCCTCAGCACAGAGGACTCTCACTCCAAAAGTGCAGATTGCTCTCAGCTGCTGAGCTGTCACAATGTCTTGGGTTATAAGATATGTGTGTATTTTATTTCTTTTATGTTAGAAGTGGGGCAGTCATTTTTTCTTAATTGGGCGGTTTACTTTATCTGTTCTACAACTAATCTCCCCTCAGGGGAGTTATCTTTTGTTAATGGGCTATTGAATCTCACTGCATAACTGATAAAATTACATCATTTCATTGAGAGATGGTCTGCTCAGGGGGAGGAGCTAAGTATTCTTACTTAGATATAATCTCAGATTTAGAACACCAGAAGCAGCCTTTCTCTACTAGATTCTAAGAACAGCTTTCTTTTTTACTAGATTCACAGAAGACTAAGCTCATCTACACTACTACTGAACCTTCAGAAGAAAACTACACTCCTCAACAAGATCACAGTGCACACTGTGTCAGGCTTAACCACCTGTCCTAGACTGCAAGGCAATGTGTATTCTATCCCCATCTGTCAGAGGTGGGGCAGGTATCTCTGTTCACTGGGCAGTTTTATCTGTCCCACAGCCAACCCTCCCTCCAGGAGATCTCTGCTGTCCATGGCCACTGAGTGTCCCTGCAGGGCTGATCAAATTCCAGCATCCCATGGGGAGATGCTCCGCCCAGGGCAGGAGCCAAGCATTCCTACCTGGATACAATCTGAGCCTGGAACACCCCAGCAGCCTTTGCCCACTGCATTCCCAGAGGAGCAGCTTTCTCCTGCCCTGCATTCCCAGAGGGAGAGCAGGCCCATCTCCAGCAGCCCTGGAGCTCCAGAGGAAAACTCCAGCCTTGTGCAGGATCCCTGCTCCAGCAGAACCACAGCTGGCACTGCAGGAGGGCTGAGCCCCCCTGGGATGGGACTGTGCCACCACCCTGACACACAGGGATCAGGTCTATTCTGACTCTGGCAGGGTTGTTTTGTTTTACTTCACTGTTTATTTTATTTATTTTCTTCCCTAATAAATAACTGTTATTCCTGCTCCCATATATTTGCATGAGAGCCCCTTAATTTCAAATTTATAACAATTCACTGGGAGGGGTTTTACATTTTCCATTTCAGGGGAGGCTCCTGCCTTCCTTAGCAGACACCTGTCTTCTCAAACCAAGACACCAACCCTCACATCTCTGCAGTCACTGCCCAGGTGCTGAAGCTCCTGTTATTCCCAAGTTGCTGCTGCTGGGATCAGGACAGGCAGCTGTTCCCCTCACCTCATTGTTGTGGAGCGTCAGGCAAAGCTTGCACTCGTAGGAGCCCAGATGATTTTTCATAAAATAGGGGTCCTGGGAAAAGAATTATGGACAAGTTACAAGTTGGCAAAGCAGGAGAATAACCAAAATACTGCAGAGTTCTGCACTGGAGGAAGTGGTTCCTCCCCCCACAGGCTGCTGGCACTGCCCAGGCTGCCCAGGGAATGGTCCCGGCCCCAAGGCTGCCAGAGCTGCAGGAGCGTTTGGACAGCGCTGCCAGGGGTGCTCAGGGTGGGCTTGTTGGGGTGGCTGGGCAGGGACAGGGGCTGGCCTGAGCATCCCTGAGGGATCCAGCTCAGGATATCCTAGGATCCTGTAGCTGAGTTCAGATCTTAAATTAACAGCACAAGAGAACTTTAGAAAGAATAAAAAGAGAACCAACAGCAGCTGTGTGCATTGTGACAGAATTCCCAACTCACCAGGAAACACCACAACCCAAACCAGCCCTGGAGAGACTGGACATAGATGGATACACAAGAGCTGGCACCTCCCTGTCACTCTGTCCCAAATACTCCTTATTCAATCCTCACATGCCCAGAAACAGGAGTATTTAAACCCAAACCAATCCTCAGCCTGGAGATGAGAAGGCTCTGGGGTGACCATGAATCCTAAAGGGGCTCCAAGAGAGCTGGAGGGGAACTTTGGAAAAGGGCCTGGGGAGACAGGACAACAGGGAATGGCTTCAGATAGACCAAGAATTGGTTTAGATGGGATATTGGGTAGAAATTCTTGACTGTGAGGGTGAGGAGGCCTTGGCATGGATTTCCCAGAGCAGCTGTGGCTGCCTCTGCGTCCCTGGAAGTGCCCAATCCCAGGGCTTGGAGCAACCTGAGACAGTTGCAGATGTCCCTGGATGAGCTTTAACGGTCCTTTCAACCCAAACCAGGCCAGGATCCCACGGGTGTGGCCCTGCCCGTGTCCCCTGTACCTTGTTGATGTCGATGGTCTCCAGGGCCAGCTGCCGCAGGCGCTCCCGCCGGTCGCGGTTGCTCTCGGAGGCCGAGGCCACGCCCCCGCTGGCCTAAAGGGGCTCCAAGTGAGCTGGAGGGGAACCTTGGAAAAGGGCCTGGGGGGACAGGACAACAGGGAATGGCTTCAGATAGACCAAGAATTGGTTTAGATGGGATATTGGGTAGAAATTCTTGACTGTGAGGGTGAGGAGGCCTTGGCATGGATTTCCCAGAGCAGCTGTGGCTGCCTCTGCGTCCCTGGAAGTGCCCAATCCCAGGGCTTGGAGCAACCTGAGACAGTTGCAGATGTCCCTGGATGAGCTTTAACGGTCCTTTCAACCCAAACCAGGCCAGGATCCCACGGGTGTGGCCCTGCCCGTGTCCCCTGTACCTTGTTGATGTCGATGGTCTCCAGGGCCAGCTGCCGCAGGCGCTCCCGCCGGTCGCGGTTGCTCTCGGAGGCCGAGGCCACGCCCCCGCTGCCCGTTTTACCGCCGGGGCGGTGCTGGAAATCCATGGCGGGGCTGTCTGCGCCTCAGCTGCTCCCGGAGAAACCCAGAGACTGGGAAAAGAAAGGAGCGTCAGTGACAACCGAGCCACAGGACTGCTCAGCCCCAGCAGCGAGGGCGGGGGTGACAGCCCAGACGCGCCCTGGGCACACGCCACGGGATGCAATCCCACAGGGAGCACATCTGGAAACTCAGGGAAGCAGAGTAAAAGGATGCAGAAAATCCCCCTGGGGCCCTTCCCATCTCTTCAGCCACTCCCAAGCACAGCTGGGCCCCAGCGAGGCCAAGCAGCCCCACCAGAGGAGCCTTCCCCCCTCACCTGAGGCACCACCAGCCTCAGAGCTCGCCCCTCCCCACCAGCAGGTCTGCTGCTCCCCACCACCCCAAAACCCCCCAAAGCCCCAGGGCCACCCCCCGCCAGCCCCAACACCACGGCAGGGTCAGAGCCCCCCAACAAGGCCGGGGGCTCTGAGCAGTGTCCCCAAGCCCCAGGCGAGGCCCTGGAGTCCCCCCTGCCCTCTGCAAGGTCAGAGCCCTCCCTAGACCTCCCCACACAGAGCCCAAACACTGGAAAGACCTTTGAGGAACCCCAAATCCTTCCCCACAGAGCACCCAGTTCTCCCAGTCTCTCCCCCAGTCCCTCTCCAGCCACATCCCCCAGTAGCTCCAGTCCTGGTTCTCCAGTCAAGGCTCACTGACTCCCACTCGGGTGCTCCTCCCGATCCTCCCGGTACTCCCAGTCCTTCCCTGGCCCTACCCCAGTTTCCCACTCGTGATTCTCCAGTTCCCTCAGTCCCTCCTCACCCAGTACTCCCAGTTCTGTCTTGATCCTACCCCTGGTTTCCCAGCCTGGATTCTCCAGAGCACCCAGTTCTCCCAGTGCCTCTTCCCCAGTCCCTCTCCTCTAACTCCAGTCCTGACTCTCCTGTCGAGGCTCCCCAAATAACCTCAAGTCCTGCTTCTCCTGATTCTCCCAGTTCTACCCCCATTTTCCTTATCCTGATTCTCTAGTACCCCAGTCCTCCCACCCAGTTCTCCCAGGCCCCCTCCAGCAACTCCAGTCCTGATTCTGCAGCCAGGGGCCCCAGGTACCCCCAGTCCTGCCCTCCTGATGCTCCCAGGACCCCCAGTTTCTTACTCGTGATTCTCCAGTTCCCCCACCCCACCACCCCAGTTCTCTCTTTTCCAGCACCCTTGGCTTTCCAGCCCAGATTCTCCAGCACTCCCAGTCCTCTCACCCAGTTCCCCCAGTACTTTTCCAGTAACTCCATCCCAGTTCTGCACTCGGGGTCCCCCAGGTGTCCCTGCTCCTGCCCTGCTGATCCTCCCAGTAGCCCAAACCCTGCCCGGGCCCTACCCCCAGTTTCCCACTCGTGATTCTCCAGTTCCCTCAGCCCCACCACCCAGGCTGCCCAGCCCTCCCAGTCCCTCCTTCCCAGCACTCCCAGTTTTTTCAGCTCCAGCTCCAGTTCCCCCGTTCCCCTCACAGCCCCCTCCCCCGCTCCATACCTGAGCGCGGCCCCGCTCTCCTCTCCCCGGCGCATGCGCGCTCCCGTCCCGGCGCATGCGCGCTGCCGCCGCCCCGCGAGCGCTTCCGGCGGCGCTGAGGGCGCTTCCGGCGGCCCGGGCGGGGCCATGGGCCGGGGCGTCTGCACTCGGGGTCCCCCAGGTGTCCCTGCTCCTGCCCTGCTGATCCTCCCAGTAGCCCAAACCCTGCCCGGGCCCTACCCCCAGTTTCCCACTCGTGATTCTCCATGTCCCTCAGCCCCACCACCCAGGCTGCTCAGCCCTCCCAGTCCCTCCATACCCAGCTCTCCCAGTTTTTTCAGCTCCAGTTCCCCCGTTCCCCTCACAGCCCCCTCCCCCGCTCCATACCTGAGCGCGGCCCCGCTCTCCTCTCCCCGGCGCATGCGCGCTCCCGTCCCGGCGCATGCGCGCTGCCGCCGCCCCGCGAGCGCTTCCGGCGGCGCTGAGGGCGCTTCCGGCGGCCCGGGCGGGGCCATGGGCCGGGGCGGGCCCGCCATGCGCTACAACGAGCGGGAGCTGCTGTCCCTGGCCCGCCAGCCCGCCGAGAAAGCGGCCGAGATCCGCATGAGCGTCCCCAAGAAGGGCAGCGGTGAGGGGAAGTCCGCGGAGGGGCCTGAGGGAGGAGTCAGGGCTGGGGTTACGGGGGTAGGAGCAGGGCAGGACCGGACCGGGGGTACCTGAGGGCCCCGAGTGGGGAATCAGGGCTGGGGTTACTGGAGAGGGACTGGGAGAGCTGGGGGTGCTGGAGGATCCGGGCTGGGAAAGTGGGAGCAGTGGGCGAGGAGGGACTGGGAGAACTGGGATGATGGGACTGAGGATACTGGAGAATCTGCAGTGAGAAACTGGGGCAGGACCGAGTCAGGACTGGGAGAACTGGGGGAGGCTGGGAGAGGGGGGGCAAGGCTGGAGGGCTGTGTGGGGAGGAGGGTGAAGGTGGGTCAGAACTGGGGGGCCCCGACTGCAGAGGGGGCAAGGCTGGAGGGCGGTGTGGGGAGAAGGGTGAAGGTGGGTCAGAACTGGGGGGCCCCGACTGCAGAATCAGGACTGGAGGTACTGGGGAGGGACTGGGAGAGAGGCTCGGTGCCCTGGGTGGTGGGGCTGGGGGAACTGGAGAATCACACGTGAGAAACGGACTGGGGGTACTTGAGGGGCCCCGACTGCAGAATCAGACCTGGAGTTATTGGGAGGCAAGGCTGGAGAGGGACTGGGGAAGCTGGGGGGGAGGACTGAGGGTGCTGGAGAATCCAGACTGGGAAACCAGGGCAGGACTGGGAACACTGGGCACAGGGGCGGACTGGCTGTACTGGGTGGGCAGCACTGGGTGCACTGGGAGGACTGGGCACAGGCAGACTGGCAGGGCTGGAGTGTGGGAATGGGGAGCACGAGTGGTGGGATGCAGTCTGGGTGTGGAGGGAGGTTCTGGGGCTGGGCTGGGCTCAGGGAGATCCCCAGAGATCCCCCGTTTCCAGGGGATCTGGGGAAGAAGCTCTTCCCTGAAATCTCCCAGCAAATTCCCTTGCACACCAGCCCTGGAGTGTTGCACTCACTCCCTTGTCCTGAGCCTTTCCTCCTGAGGAGCTGCTGGACTTTGTGCCTTGGGGGTGAGGCCCGTGCTGGCAGCTCCAGGCAGGGCTCCTGGGGTCTGGAGCTTTTCCTGGCGTGCCTGAGGCCCTGAGGTGCTGCTGTGAGCTCTGGCTGCCCAGGAGCTGCTCAGGGGCTCTGGCACCCTGAGGCCACTTTGGCACCCCAGGCAGCGTTTGGGGGAGCAGCCTCGGGGGGTGCTTTGGTGGGGTCAGTGCCATGCTGAGGGCTGGCAGGGCTGGCAGGGTGCCCCCACTGGGGAGTGCCCCCTGCCTCAGCCCTGCTGCCTCGTGTCCCTGCAGTGCTGAAGAAGCGCCTGGTGAAGCTCGTGGTGAATTTTCTCTTCTACTTCCGCACCGATGAGGCCGAGGTAGGGCTTGGGCCTCTGGGTGGGGCTTGTTCCCCTCCTCCTTTCTTCTCTTTCTGTGCCTGGATTGTGTGGGCTGGGAAAATGGTGCAGGGACAGAGCTGGAACAGTGTCCAGCTTTCCTCTTCCAACAGCTCAGCAGGGCTCCAGGAGAGCTGCAGAGGGACTGGGGACAAGGCCTGGAGGGACAGGACACAGGGAATGGCTGCCACTGCCAGAGGGCAGGGCTGGATGGGATATTGGGCAGGAATTGTTCCTTGGCAGGGTGGGCAGGCCCTGGCACAGGGTGCCCAGAGCAGCTGTGGCTGCCCCTGGATCCCTGGCAGTGCCCAAGGCCGGGCTGGACAGGGCTTGGAGTGACCTGGGACAGTGGAAGGCATCCCTGCCATGGCAGGGGTGGCACTGGATGGGCTTTGGGGTCTCTTCCAATCCAGAGTTCTATGAAATACAAGATAAATCAGGTTTTCAATCTCTTCCCTGCTGTCTGATCTGCTTCTGACACTTTGGTTCACTGGGACAAGGATTTCCTGTGGTTGCTCTTGTTCATGGCCAGTGTCACCTGCTGTCCCAGGTCCCTGAGTAGCATCAGGTGGCTTTTTGTCCATCCTGAGCTACTCCAGCTCCCCTCACACTGTGTAACCCCTTGCAAGGCTCCAGGACTGCCCTTGCACAGCTCAGTGTTGGTTATTCTGGGTGTCACAGTAAATGGTTCATCTTTGATTTTAAAAGCAAAAGTTCTTCCCTGGTGTCACAGAGTGGTGAAGGCTGAATCTGAGTCAGGAGAGGTGATTAACACCTAATTAATAAATGCAAAGTGCTACAGGTGAGACTGGAATGAAAAGGTTGATTAAAGGAACATGAAATATGGTGCAATCAGACTGAATTATTTAAATGCAGCACCAGCTTGTGAAAGTTGCTTAAAAGGCTCCAGGGTGGGTTCAGCCCTCGTGGTGCTGGGGGCTCTGTGGGTTAAACCCTCTCTGCTTGTGTTTTCCAGCCCATTGGAGCTCTGCTGCTGGAGCACTGCAAGATCACCAAAGAGGAGGAGAACGTCTTCTCCATCAGTGAGTGCTGCCTGTGCTCCCCTTTGCCTTCCCCTGGTGGCATGTGGGAAAGGACATGTTGGACTGCTCAGTTCCTGCTTTCCCTGTTTCCCTGGGGGCACTGGGCTCGGCTCAGCCCTTCTCCTCTCCCTCTGTGGGGTCACTGCCCCAGCCCTTCTCCTCTCCCTCTGTGGGGTCACTGCCCCAGCCCTTCTCCTCTCCCTCTGTGGGGTCAGGCTCTGCTCCCAGGAAACGGGACAGGACGAGAGGAAATGACCTCCAGTTGTGCCCAGGACAGGTTTAGGTTGGATACTGGGGAAAATTTCCTCACCAAGAGGTTTGGAAGTACTGGCAGAGGCTGCCCAGGGCAGTGGGGCAGTCACCATCCCTGGGAGTGTTCAGAAGAGGTGTGGCTGTGGCACCTGGGGACAGGGGTGAACCTGGTGGTGTTGGGCTGGTGGTTGGACCTGATGATCTCAAAGGCCTTTTCCAACTTTACCAATTCCTCAGCCTTTCCCTCCTCAGCTGCCAGCTGTTCCTCACTGTGCCTGTGGCCCATCCTGAGGAGATCTCAGGGACATTCCATGGCACAGCCTGTGGGATTTGCACAGCTGCACGTGCAGAGCAGCACGAAGAGCAGCCAGGCCCCACTGGGTGCCTGTGGAATCCCTGGCAGGGGGAGCTTGGTTATTGACAGATCTGCTCTGTGCTGCTGCATTTTATCCAAAAAACAGCCTGGAGAGGCTCAGATAAAGCTGCTCCAGCCCCATCCTCCCCTCTGTGTGTCCTTGTGCAGCTGCAGCTGGGCCAGCTCCCCTGGGAGCAGCCTTTCATCCTGCAGCTCTCCCCTGTGCCAGAGGTATGTGGCCACAATAACAGGATGTTTCTCCAAGGCCATCCCTGTATCTTTTGGCCTGGCTGCCAGGCACAGCTGTGGCTCTGCTCTGTGCTTCCAAAGGACCCTCAAACTGCCTGAACACGCTGAGCCCACTGCACCATGTGCTGGATTTTGGGGCTTTAGAGGTGTTGGGAGCTCTGGTGGGGGAAGACTCCTGAGCAGGGTTAAACCCAGCAGTGCCTGGTGTTGGGGTGTGTCCACAGCACACCCTGAGGTGCTGGTGCAGCCTGACCCAGGTGTTTGGCAGCAGCAGCCCTGAGGGTCTGCTCAGCAGAGCTTTGGGGACAGGAGCTGGGGACATGTCCTGGTCAAGAACTGGAGTGGCACCAGGACCTGCTCTCCATGCTGGGAGTACCACGGGAGTGCCACGTTCCCAAAAGCCTCCAGCAAAGGCAGCTCTGGGCCTTCTCCCAGTGCAGTGTAACTCCTTGGCTGGCTGCTCCCTGCAGGTATCCCAGTTCCTCTCAGGGCTGTTTCCCACTTGGATTTAAACCCCTGCTGTCTTTGCAAGGGGCCTCAGGGAGTCAGTCCTGGTTCTGGCCATGCTGGTCCAGTCCAGTTCACCCTCAGATTGGGGAGTTGCCCTTCCCGAGGTCTCTGGCTGCTGTAAGCTGGGAAATGCTGTGGGCAGCTGCCCCAGGCACCCAGAGCCACCCAGGGAATGGGACAGGGGCTGGAGGTTGTGGTTGCAGACTCATTCCCAGCTCATCTTAGTTAACAGAGCTGCTAATTATGGCCTGGCAGAGTCTGGAGAGGGAGTCAGGGGAGCAGCAGCAGCTCTGCCAGGACCTGCCTGGAGCCTTTTCCTTGTCCCTGGCAGGTTTCATCGAGGAGCCAGAGAGGAAATACTGCTTCGAGTGTGCCACGGAGGAGCAGTGCCAGGAGTGGGTCGAGGCACTCAAGAGAGCCAGGTGGGCTGAGCCCTCAGAGCCAGGGCAGTGCTGGGGGCTCTGGGCTGTGTTCTGGGATCAGGAACTGGGAGGGCAGTGCTTGTCTCCTCCCAGACAAGCTTCCCTCCAGCTCTAAATAGCATCTGAAACTTCCCCACATCCTTCTCTGCTCAGCCCTTCCCATGCTCTGTTCCTGTCTTGCAGCTATGAGTTCCTGAGGAGGAGCCTGATTTTCTACAGGAACGAGATCCAGAAGATGACAGGGAAGGTGAGTGAGTCCCTGCAGGCACTGCTCAGGTGTGACTGATGCCTTTGGGTGGCAGCAGGGGCTGTTGCTGCCAGTCCTGCCCACGCTGTGTGTGGGAAGGAGATCCCACATTCCATAGCGAGCTGTGGTCTCCACAGCCAGACCTGAGCACCTTGCCCTGGGTGCTCACTCCAACCCTGATGCACACATTCCAGTGCTGGAGAGGCCCAAGGTTTGGAGCTGGACAGGTCCAGAGCTGGCCTGGCCTCCCAGGGGCTCTCTGGAGCAGTTCACACCAGCCCTGGGCAGATCCTTGGGTAGAGATGCTGCTCACCCCCTGCCAGGTGCCGGGAGCATCCCTGCTCCAGGGAGGGAGGTGGCTGTGGCTCCCCTGGACCTTGGCTCCCTGCTGTGTCCTGTGTGTCCCAAGGGCTGCTGGGCTTTATCTGCATCTCACTGGTGCCTCCCTGTGCTCCCCACAGGACCCCCTGGAGCAGTATGGAATCTCGGAGGAAGCTCGTTTCCAGCTGGGAGCACACAGGCAGTAACCCTCACCTGGCTGCAGCTGGCTCCACCCCAGCCCCCTGGGAGGGACAGCAGCTCCCCACAGTGACCACGGGACTTTTTTATTTATTACCCCAATCGTTTTGTACTTTTTTTTTTAAGGAATTCATTGCACATTCCCAGTGCCCCAGCTGGGGGGCTGAGCTGCTCCGTGGGTGCTGCAGTGGGAGCAGAGCCCCCAGCCCTGGGGTGGGCAGAGGCAGGGGCTGACAGAGCTCCCAGCACCTGCTCTCCTCCAGGCTGTGCTGGGGCCACCCGGGCCAGCTCCACCCTTCTGCTCAGGATCCTCCTGCAGTCTCCCAGGAGCCAGCCCAGGGCTCATTCCTGGCTGTAAGAGGATGTGACTGATGCATTTCTGAGCTCCAAATAAACCCCCTCCTGCCCTCCAGGGAGGAGTGGGAGTTCCTCCAGCTCAGCCACAGCTCCAGCTGATGGAGAGGAGCATCTGCAGCCCTGTGCAGCCACGACCTCTTGGGGTCCTCTTTTCCCTCCCCATGGCAGGTGCTGCAATTCCTGGGGGCTGGATAAGCCCATCCAAAAGAACAAAGCTGCAGAGCACGAGGGAACAAAGGCAGGGAGAGATCCCTGTGTGATCCTGCCTGGCTGCAGAGCTCTGCAGTGATCCAGCTTCCCAGGGAGGAGGCAGATGGAGAAGCTGGCAAAGGCAGGAGCTGCTCCCTTTGGCTGGAGGATGGAGCTGCAGGACATGCACCCGCACAGCCAGGCATTAACCCTTCATTCCCTGAGCCACTGCTGCAGCTTTTCTCCCTTCTGTGTGTCCCCTTTGTCCAAAGGGACAGACCAAAAAACTGTGCCAAGGTCACAGTGAGCTGCCAGGGAACCAGGGTTGCCTGTCCTGGAGCTCCTGCAGGGAAGAGATAAGGATTAGGAACAACATCCCCATAGGATCAGCCCTGGCTCTGGCTGCACCAAGGAAAACTGCCCAGACATGAAGGATGGAGGACACTCCCCACACCCAAGTCTGCAGTACACCCAGATTCTTGACTGCCAGAGCAGCTTCCCTGGAACCAGCCCAGGAAAACTCCCAGGAAAGGCCTCTGGGAAGGTCCCAGGAGTCACTGTCAGAGGCTGCTGGCAGCAGGAACAGGGCTGGGGCTTGGCCTGGCCTTTGGGAGCTGCAGCCCTGGGCGTTGTTCCCCTCCAGCTGCCCAGCCCAGGGAGGGAGTGGAGCAGCCTCTGAGCTGGGTTTGAAGGGAATTTTGGTGTCTTTTCCTCCTTGGTTGGGAATTAACATCCAAACCAGAACCCACACTGCAGCCTTTGGTCTGCTGGTGTTCCCTCTTTACCTCATGCAGCTGAGTACCAGGAGTGACACCCGTCACTGATGCTTTAGTTTTGATCTCAAAGCTGAGATTTTTCCCTTTTCCCTCCCCAGATGCTCCCTTTCCCTTGAATCATTCCAGGTGCTTGCTCCAGAAATTACCAAAATGAGCTGAAGGGCAGCTGCCCTGGGGGTTCAGCTGAGGGCAGCAGGGAGGGAGCAGAATCCAGGCTGGGTTGCAGACAGATGGCAGCTCCAGGGGAAGCAGCAGCGAGGGATTAAGAGCAGGAACACCCAGGAGCTGTGTTTTAGGGAATCAGTATCCTTGGATGACTCCAAAGGGCATTTTAATCCTGCCCAGCCTGCATTTTTACAAAGCAGAGCTGAGTTCTCAGCTGGGCCTGCCACCACTGTAGCAAATGTGTCACCTGTGCCTTGCAGGACTCGGTGGCCTCCTCACTGGACACCTTTCCCCAGGTGGAGCTGCCACCCTCAGTGTCACTGTGCAGAAAATGGGTGTTTGATTTGCTGTTCCAGGGGACAGCTGGGTGAGCAAGAGCAAAGCCCAACACTGAATTGAATGTTCATCACCAATGACATTTCCTAACTGAATGTACAACAAAAGCTGTGAAGAGTTGCCGGGGCCAGGCCAGGCCCAGGGACTCAGATCCATTGTAGGGCAGGGCTGGGACACGGGGTGGGAGAGGGAGGGAGGGTGGTACTTTGTAGAACTTGGAAATCTGCATCATCTGCTGCTGATTTACAGACAGTTGCATTTTTCACATTCTGATGACTTTGCTTGTTGTGTTTCAGCGAGAGCCAGCTCCAGGCTCCCTGAGAGCCATTTCTGTGTTGTACAGTGAACATTCCCAATAAATCCTGTTTTAATCTTTGTGATGGTCAGAACTGTTCTACAACACCAAAACCTGCCCGGGAGGGGTGGCTGGAGCCAGCTCAGGGCCTGCCCAGGGGCACCAGGTGTGGTTCCTGCTCAGGACCCAGCGGGGGGTGGCTCCACCAGGGGCTGTGGAGAGGCTTTTTCAGACGATCAGAGAATATTCTGGGTTGGAAGGAGCCTTTAGAGGTCAGCTAATCCAACTGGTACTGGGGCCAGGCCAGGGGCAGCTGACAAACCTGTGTAGGAAGAGGAGCTGGGTCAGGCTGGGGCCCAGCAGAGCCAGGGCTGGGGGCTCTGGGTGAGGCTGGGGCTGTGTCTTGTTTTGAATCCTACAGGGAATTGGCTCAGGAAGTGTTTGTGGCCTCCAGCTCCGAGGTTTAAACACATCCCTGGCTGCCTGCTGGCTAAAAGGGAACAGAGCTTGGATGGGTTGGGAATCATGGAAATGTTTAGGTTGGAAAAGACCTCTAAAAAATTGAGTCCAGCCCTGACCCAGCACTGCCACGGCCACCACTGTCCTGTGTCCCAAGTGCCACATCCACACTTTGTTCCTGTGCTCCTGAGGCTGGTGACTCCAGCAGTGCCCTGGGCAGCCCTTTCCAACACTTCCCAAACCTTTCAGTGAGGAAATTTTCCCAACTTCCAATCTAAACCTTCCCTGGCCCAGCCTGAGGCCGTTCCCTCTCCTCCTGTCCCTGTTCCCTGGAGCAGAGCCCGACCCCCCCAGGCTGTCCCCTCCTGTCAGGAGTAGTGCAGAGCCACAAGGGCCCCCCTGAGCCTCCTTTTCTCCAGGCAGAGCCCCTTTCCAGCTCCCTCAGCCCCTCCTGGAGCTCCAGACCCTTCCCCAGCTCCATTCCCTTCCCTGGACACCCCCAGCCCCCCAGTGTCCCTTGATGGGCGCAGAGCTGTCCCCAGGCCCTGCTGTCCCTCCCCAGTGCCCAGCACAGGATCCCCAAACCCCCAAATGATCCCCAGACCCCAGAGCTGAAGGTGCTGCCTGGTTCAGGGGTCCCCCTGTGCCCCACAAAACCCCAAATCCCATTTCCCTCCTGATTCTGCTGAGGCAGTGAAAGGCCACACGAGCTCGGTGTATTAAAATACAGACACTTTAATATAAAGACAAAACTTCAAAGCATCGTTTCAATTACAAATCAAGGGAGACACAAGAAATTAAGTGGAGGGAGGGGAGCAAAAACTAACTCTTACATTGTGGAGAATTAGAAAGGCCGGGTGGAAATATATATATTATACATACATATATACACACCAGAATTCACACTACTGCTAGGCAGGAATGAAAGGAATGACAGAACAACTTACCAGTATGTAAAAAAAAAAAAAAAAACCAAAAAAAAACCAAACAAAAAAAAACCAAAAAAAAAAAAAGAGATAAATTAGGGGAAGTTTGAATTTTAAATAATTCAGTTTAATAGGCTAAACTATATAAACTAATTCCTATTCACTAGGAAACATCCCATATCACTGTCCTAAGAAAATGGGTTTTTCTAAAAATCCATTGAAAAATGGATTTTTATTAGTAGTTAAAAGTTTACTAATCAATTCCTGAGCAACAGCAACCTCATCATCTACTGCTTTCCCCATCCAAGTCCCACTCAGCGAGGGCAGGCTCTCACTCCTAAAAAGTTTAAGTAGAACAGAGACCTAAAAAGTTGGGTTTTAATTGGAAATCGATCACTTCAAAGATTAATAGGTTAAAAAAGCCAAGCAGGATGGATCAACCCATTCCACCTTTTCCTCAATAACTCCAGAGACAAAACCTTTTAAAAAATTATTTGACTGCACCAGAAAAGCAACCAGATGTACCTCGAGAAAACCAAAGGATCACAAACCTGAGAACTTCAGGGTTAGCATTGTTAAACTTGGAATATTTGGATGTAATTTTGTTTTTACACCATAAAGAACTCAAGGAACCTCTTCAGGAAGAAGGTCCCAAACAGTAAAAGTACTGGAGAATTTTTTTCCCAATTTTTTTTTTTTTTTTGTCTCGGGTTTAAACCCTGAAGTTCCCAATAAAAGCATCTTTCAATGCAATATTCAGTCTAAATATATATTTATATATTTATAATGTATAAGGATAAATAAAATATGGCACAACAACATTTTGAAACAGCTTTTAGTGAAAACCTGATCCGCAAATGGAGCGGAAAATGGAAATGAAGCAAAAAAAAAAAATCAAAAAATACCTTTAAAACCAGTAAGACTTCAAATATTCATACACTGACTGCACATCTCTACTCCCAAAACTCCAATTCCTGTGATTTTTCCTCAGTGCTGCAAAGATAGTTCACAAAAACACTGTGTAGTTTCTGCTCCCCAAAAGCATTTTGGGTTCACAGCCCTGTCCAAGGCCCTCCCCTGCTCCCAGCCCTTAATCCTCTCTGTGCTTTTGGCTCAGGCAAAACAAGAAAAGCAGAATTTTCCACAACAGCCACCCCGGGGAGCTGGGATCATTCCAGGGTGGAGTTATCCAGGACAAAACAGAGACCCCTCAGGTTTCCCTGCCCTGGGGCAGAGGGGGAATTCCAGCACCGAGATCAAAGGGGTCACACAGGAGGTGACAGCGACAGGAGGAACCCGGGACCCTGGGGAGTGGCAGCTCCAGGAGCAGCTCCCTGGGGACAGTGAGCCCGGGCCGGGCTGGGGAGGGAAGGAAGGGCCCAGGGAAGGCCGAGCAGGAGGGGAATCCCCAGCACCGGGAGTCTCCTCTGCCAGCAACCAGCAGGACCCGGAGCAGGGCAGGGGAGCCAGAGCATCCCGAGGGCACAGCTGGCACAGCTGGCACAGATCCCCAGTGCCAAGGTGGGCCCTGAAGGGACTCAGAGGGGCCGGAAGCACTGACTGTCCCCTCCCTGAGCCAGGGCTGGGTGTCCCCAGCAGCTCTGCACTGCTGGGACTGGCCCTGCCACCACCCCTCGGCCTCTCCTCTGCCTGGACTCTCTTACAAGTGGAAAAATATCCACTGGTAGCAGATTCTGCTTTCTGAACACACAATCCCAGCAAGAACCAAACCCCAGGCTGCCTGCCCATGGCCAAAAGAAAAGGCCTGGAAGGGGCAGCCCAGCAGAACACAAAGATCCAGGTCCTTCCAAGGGAAGGCTGGGCTGAGATGGAAACAATGAGCACAGGCAGCAAATTCCCTGTGGTGGGGAGCACCTGAGCTGTTGTACCCCAGAGCTGGGGTGAAGGTGCAGGAGCAGCAGGTGAGGCAGGGCTGGCTCTCACCCACCTCCTCCCAGATGTGTCTGTACAGAATCAGAACAGTTTGGGAAGATTGGAAAGCACCTTTAAAGGTCCAACCCCAAAGAAGGCTGAAGAAGTGACCCCAGCACACGTCTCAGAAGGAAACCTGTCCCCAGGGGTGAGGGCAGGGACACAGCCCCAGGCAGCCCTGGAGCAATGCTGCAGCTGGACATGTTTCCAGGTGGGATGGAAGAGCTGATCAGACTGGAAACCTCTCCACTCCCAGATTGAAATTGTTCAAGTGACTTCCTCAAGGATTAAATTTGACTAAACAAAGAAGTGACTCAGCTGAACTGAGTGCGACCCAGAGCTGGGTGAGTTTCACACTAAGGAGTGTCAAGTCCTGGGGATTTGGAATCTCTGGATTCAAAAAGAGATGAGTAAATTCATTCATTACCAAGTGATGTCACCTTCCTGCCTGCAGGACCTCAGGGACTGTGGGTGTGATCCCAGACCCTCCAAGCTCAGCTTGATCCCAGGAGTGAGGGGGAATCCCACTTCCCATGCCAGGCTGAGCCAGAGCCCAACCCCAGCCACGAGCAGAGGGAGCACAAAGCCTGCATGGAAGGTGAAGTGCTGCCCCAACAGGAAGGAAGATAAAGAGATGGAAGCACAAGAATTTCTGGTCTGTGTGGTCGAGGAGACACAAATTCCTGGTGATCAGAAGGAGCTGGAGATGAGCTCAGTCCCAGAATGGCAGGACAGTGAGGATGTGCTGCACTCCCTGCTGCTTCCCCAAAAAGCTGCTTTCCTCCTCTCTCCCACTGCATCCACAGCTGAAGGGAGGTGAAGATGCTCCCAGACTGATCCACACCTTCCTGCAGGGAACAGCCTCGTTTGTACCAAGCCTAGAGGGGATGGAGGGACACCTCCAGCCCCCATTATCCCCTGCACCAGCTCGGATCCAGCCTCTGCATCCTCAGCAGTGCCTTCCCACTCTCTCCCTCAGCAATCCAACTGCTGGGTGTCTCCACACCCCTGGCTGATGGAAGAAGAATTGCTGCTGAATTACTCATCTGCAACAAATCCCAAATTTAGGTCCAGTGCCTTTGGAGTCCTCCCAGCACCGTGGGTCCCAGGGGACTGGGCCTGGTGAGCCAAAGGTGGCAAATGCCCAAGAAAGGAAGAGCCCACGCAAGCCTTGTTCCTCAAGGCTGACATTCAGCAGCAGGGACAGGTTTTCCTCAGCACAGCACTCAGGAAGTTCCATTTTTTTGGCAGCAGACTTGCTCCAAGATGTGTTTTTGCTTCCTGGCGAGTCCTTTGCTGGCAGCAGGGGTGTGGAGGAGGGGGAATTGTGTGACAGCCCCAGAAGGACTGGACCCAGCACCAGCAGGAGAAATTCTCTGTTTTGGAACTGTTTGGTTTTGATTGCTCCAGAGGATCTTCAATTATTGCAAACAGGTTTCAGCTCCTGGCTCAGTGCTCCAGCAGTGGGGTCACAGCTGTGGCCATATGGATCAGATCCCAGCAGCTCCAAGGTCTGCCTCCAGCCAGGTGAGAGCTCTTCCCAGTGTGCAGACAGAGCAGCAGGAGACTGGCCAGGAGCTGGACTTGATGAGCCTCCAGGTCCCTTCCAACTCAGGATGTTCTGTGAGTCCACGATTTTAAGCTGAGCTTGCCCCACATCATGGCAAAGCAATAAAAGGTCAGGGGAGAGGGAAGACAAAACCAGGAATCTCTTGGCAAAAACATCTCCCAGCTCAGCCAGTGCCGAGGCACCAGCCCCAAACTGTCCCCTTGGCTTCCACCTCAGTGCTGAGCAGGCCCCTCTGGAAGCACAATCTGGAACCACGACCAGGAGCAGCAGCAGTGCAGGGCCTGGGCTGGGGGAAGACACCAGCAAGGCTGGAGCAGCTCCAGGTCCCACCAGGGTGGGAACAGCAGGCACTGGGATGCCAGCAGGCAGCGGTGCACAGGCAGGGCAAGGCTGATGCTCAGGCTGACTGGATCCCTTCCCAGGAATCCCAAAGATTCTCTCCTGGGTCTGGTTCTCTTGGGCCTTCCTGGATCACATCTGGAGAGTCACAGACTCAAAAATCCTGGGGGATGGCAGTGGCTCAGTCACAGGTGAGTGCTGAGCTCCAGGGGTTGTGCTGCCCATTCCTGAGGCTGCTCCTGAGCCAGCCCTGCCTTGGACACTGGCTGGCCACCAAAGGTGACACTGAGGGACAGACAGGCTTTGCTTTTCCACAGCACCCAGCAAAGAGCAGGGGACAAACTCCTCACCCAAGGCCTTTTCTCCAAAGGGTCCTGGAATCACAGAATTGTGCAGGTTGGAAAAGATCTTTCAGACCAGAGAGTTGAGCTGTGGGATGACAGTGGCCAGGCCACCCTGACCTCTCTGACAGCTCAGCTGGCTCCCCAGAGCTGCTGGATGCAGAGCACATCATTGCCACAAGGATCTGTCCCTCCTCCATCCAGGGAGGGTCAGGTGCCAGCAGGGGGGTGACACAGGTGACCCAGGCGTGGAGCAGTGCCCAGAGGGTTCCATGGGATCTGTGGGTTGGCTCCTTCTCCAGCAGGAATCCTGGGAGTGCCTCGGGCACCACCCAAACCAGCACAGGGATGGCAGCTGAGTTTTCTTCCTGGATCTCCATGGCTGGAGGTGAAGGGAGGCACAAGAGCTCCAAGGGGCACCATATCCTGGTCCCTCTGCAGGAAAGGGTCTGATCAAACCAGGGGACGAAAAGCTTCTACTTGTATTTCCTCCTCTCTCTCTTTCACCAGAGATATAAATGATGGGTGAGAGGTAATTAGGAATTAATTAAGGCTGCTGCCCCTCCAGCAATCACTCATTTACAGTCTCCAGAGGCCCCAGCACTCTGCTGTGTGCTGGGGAGAAGCTGGAGCTGCCCAACTCCCAGCTGCAGAACATCTGGGTTACTGTGCTCCTGGATTCCAGGACATACACTGTGTTTGGCTCCTACGAGAAGCTACTGGATGTTCCTCTCACCCTGAGCATTCCTGCCCTTTCCCAGGTTCTCCTCGTGCTGCCAGTCCCTCAGCAGGACACACAAAGCAGAAACCAGTCCAAAATGCCCCCAACTCCCAGGGCTTTCAGTCCCCTCCCAGTGGATAAGGAGGCAAAGCCAGAGCCCAGAGGCTGCCACGGAAGACACAGCCAGGAATCCACAGGACAACTGCACTTGGTCCTAAACCTCCCCAAGACTGCCCAGGCTGAGGCACAGAGCTGAGCCCTGCAGAGGGTGGGAGCTGCTGCAGGCCCTGAGCCTTCCCAAACACTCCCAACCCTGCTGGATCCAGGCAGCAGGAGAGCCCAGGGGGGCACAGGGACCTCACTGACCCCAAACCCAGAGCAGCTCTTTGTGACCCTGGGGGGCTCCATGGAGCTCCTGCTGCAGTGGGAGACTCACCAGGGAGCACTAGAAGGGCTTTAAAGACAGTGCTGCCCCTATGAGCACCTGTTTTCCAAAGCCTGAATGTGATTTTTTTTCCAGTCATTTTGCTGTTGCAATCCCCTTTCTACTGTAGTTTTCTTTATTGGTGCTTGGCCCAGCCTGAACTCAGACCAGCCTGATTTCTACTTAAATGGATCCTCCTTCTCCTCCTCACTTTGTGCACTTGAATAAATAAGTTTTTACAGGTTAATTGTGCATTGTACAAACTAAAAACAAAGGAAATAAAGCATAGGAAACTCAGAAGTTTTCAGCTCTATAAAATCAGCCCTTCCTGCACACACGACACCGAGTCACGACGCAAGTGCCTGCCCCAGGGGGACAGTGACAGCACAGGCAGCCAGGTCAGGGTGTTTTTGTGAACTACCATTCAAGAACCTACTCAAAAGCAAAGGAACACAAAAGCAAAATGCACCTTGTTAATCCATGTACACGGCCAAGCCGGGTCGGAGTCAAGTATTAAAACCCTACCAAGAAACACGTCGTGCTTGGAAGGAAAGAACAACGAGCTGAGCAAACTCTGCAGCCTGCAGCAGGACAGAAACACAACGTTCAGTCTTCCCAAAGCTGGGGAAAGGGCTGCACCAGCACCAGCCAGCACACACCCTGTTCAAACACCAAGGCCAGCCCCAAGAAGCAAGTTACCAGACCAGCTACCAAAATTCACAGTGACCCCAGCACCACCAGCAACTGCAAATGGCCCAGGGAAGTAGTTTGGATGGGGCAGGACTTGGATTTCTCCTGTTCCAGCTGTGCCTGCGTGGGCTGTGCCTGCCCAGGCTGCTCCAGAGGGGAGCACAGAGCCCTCGTTAGTCACAAACTCAATTAAAACCCACCCAGTTAAAAAGCGCCCGGCTCAGTCCGAACCAAACCCCAGGGGGAGAATTCCTTCCTCTGCCAGCCCCGGCTGCCAACCAAGAGGATTTTGGGATATGAACACAGTCAAGGGAATAAATAATCTGCAGACCTTTAAAAACTGGGTTTGGCATTGGTCAACCCCCAAAATCAGCACCAAGGATTCAAACCAGAGGCACAGTTCTGACGGACAAAATAGCACCGAGGAGGCTCTTTTACATCTCTGCTGGTGTGCCAGTCCTTTAGTATTCAGAGAATTTAATAATAATAACTTGTATTTATGAATCTAGGTGGAATAAAATAAGTCAAAATTGTTTTCACTTTAAAAAAAAGATAAATATTTTATCTAAACTATCAACAATACAAACTGGAGCTTTAAGCATTTCTTTTGCCTTTTTTTTTTTTTCCTTTTTTCCTTTTTTTTTAGTCAGATTCACAGTAATTGTATGCTCTGTTGTTTAGGTCTTTTTTATGTTTTTTTTTTTTTTTTTTTGTCCAGTAGTAAGAGTAGAAACCCCTGCACAGGCCAGGTGAGCACCTTTCAGTGGAAGCCGAGTGAAGTTGGTCCACGTTGTCCTTGCATAGGTCACATTGGGTTGAGGTAGAAATCCTAGTTACCTGCACAACAGGAGGAGAGGAAGAGACTCATCTAAATAAAAGGCAAAAATCTGCTGTGTTGTTAGATGTGTCAATCATTCCTACATTGCTCCAAGACCTCTTCAGATGAAGCAAATCTTGACCCAATCCCAATTAGAGGAAAGGAAGGATGTTCCAAGGGACGTGTGGCCCCTCCAAAAGCTGCAGTTTTTCAAGCTGTGGCTGTGTTGAACTCTGTCCTATGGGTCTGAAATCAAGTGAGGGGAAAAGAGTAAAAAAGGTATTTTCCCCCTCAGTACTTCACCTTTTTATAGTAGAAGTTAATCTGCTTTGAGTTTTGTTATTATTGTGGGGGAAGGACATTATGAATCCCAGAATGGCTCAGGTTGGGAGGGACCACAAAGCCCACCCAGTGCCACCCCTGCCATGGCAGGGACACCTCCCACCATCCCAGGCTGCTCCCAGCCCTGTCCAGCCCGGCCTTGGGCACTGCCAGGGACCCAGGGGCAGCCACAGCTGCTCTGGGCACCCTGTGCCAGGGCCTGCCCACCCTGCCAGGGAACAATTCCTGCCCAAGATCCCATCCAGCCCTGCCCTCTGCCAGTGGCAGCCATTCCCTGGGTCCTGTCCCTCCAGGCCTTGTCCCCAGCTCCTCTGCAGCTCTCCTGGAGTCCCTTCAGGCCCTGCAAGGGGCTCTGAGCTCTCCCTGGAGCCTTCTCTTGTCCAGGTGAGCACCTAGAGCTCTGGCTCCAGTGCAGAGAAGCAAAGCAGATTATTTCAGTTCCCAGTTCCTGCTTCCAGCCCTGGTTCCCCAAGGATTGAGCACATCTGAACACATTTCTGTCCGCACTGAAATCAAGGGCACTGCTCAAATACCTTGGCTTCAAGTCACAGGGCTTGGGATCACAATCACCTCTGGTACCATCAGTTCTGCTCCTGTGCTCCACAACCCAGCTTTGACACCCAGCTACTCTTTTCCAAGTCCCTTCTGTGCTTTGCCTCTATTTTCAGTATTTTTCAGTGACAAGGGACAGTCACACCTGATGGATCCTAGTCCATCATGGTCTCATATCCAGGTAATTCCAACAGAGACTCTCACACTGTCCTCACACACAGACCCCAAACTGACCCTCCCCATCATCCCCATCTTCTTTCATCTCCATCCTTTCTCTGTTTGGGGTTTTCCAAGCCCTCCTCTCTGCTGGCACACAAAGCGCTTCCTCAGCCTCCCTTTCCTGCAGGGAAGGACCTGGCAATACTTACGTGCCTCCCAAAAGCCTAACCAGGGGTTTGTGGTGTCTGAGGAGGAATTTGATGAGGAAGACACTACACACAATGCACAGAGGCTCTCTCAGGTATGTTGTAATCGAGTTTTATAAGCAGCAAAGTGTGTTCAACCACGTTTGTAGTTTTGGTACCAGTGGACAGCAACAATATCACAGACCTACAAGGAAAGCACGGAGCCAGCTCTGGGGCTGGACACGCTGGATGCACTTGGCAAGCACGAGTTGGTACAGCAGGATTGCCACAGAGTGTTTGATGAACCACAGGACCCAGCTCTGTGGTGGTACAGTTTATTCTAGAGACAGTTCAATAAATACCTGCTGCAGGAGAAATGCACACAGCCTCCAGAACCCTCCTCTCCTACAGCCTTTGTGGAGTGGAGCCCACTTCCCCCTGCACATTCCCTGTGCTCCCAGGGCTTGTGAGCAAAAATAAAACATCTGCTGGGGCTGTTCCTGCTGGCCCTGGCAGCAAGTCCAGCACAGGGAAGTGACAGGGGGTCACAGCCCTTCTCTGCTACCTGTGCTTGTGTTTCCAGTGATGCAGGGGACACTGACTGCACTGCAGGCCCAGGGAATTTGCTCTCCAAGCAAAGCTGAAGCTTATAACCTAGAGATTGTTAACTTTATGACTATTTAGAGCAGCTGTTGTTGACTGGCAGTTTTTACTGACCACCACATTGTCACAAAGAGTCACAAAGAGGCACCTTTGGGCACCTCAATGCTACGGACAAGGACTGGTTTGGGATAAACAGGCTGTGCAAGAGGGGAGGGGGATCGGATGGGCAACATCCACTTCCAAAAACTGTATAAAACCACATGGAAAACAGGCATTTCCTCCTGTTACTACCTCCAGAAAGAATCCTTTCTCTTTCTATGAAGAGACCTCAGCCTGAACATAACCCTGAGCCAGAGCAGAGTTACCCCTGTGAGCACTCCTTGTCGAGAAATCCTGACTCCCAGAACAGAGAGCACCAACACTTCCCATCCTCTGCCACCAGCTGATTTGCTCCCCACATTTTAGAGATTCCTCTCCCCATTTTAGAGGTTTCTGTCCCCCATTTTAGGGCCCATTTTCCCCGTTTCAGAGGTTCCTGTTTCACGGAGCCCGGCCCCGACCTCTCTCTGCAAAGGAAGAAGCGTCAGTGAGCATCTCGCACGCAAACTCCTCTGGTTTTGTGTCTGGCCTTACCTTACAAAACAAGAACTGTTAGCTAAGCAAGCTCTTTATCGTGGCTTAACCCCCGAAAGGTGCGAAGCATAAGGAGGCTGCATGCCAAGGGTCACCCACATAGCGGCCGTGCCAGCGGCGTTGGGCTGCGGGAGCACGCGGGGCAGGGGCGGGTGATGGACTGTAAAGGAGGGACGGGAGGGTTTGTGCTGGAGAGAAGCCAGTTTAAGAGACAAAGAAGAGTTAGACTGGACAGGAGCAGAGGAGGAGGAGGGCAGGAACGTCTCGCCAGGAGGGATGGAGGGCAGGTTCTGCAGGAGAGCAGGCTCGGAGTTAGAAGCGAGTAAAGGAGGAGGGGGAGGCAAGGACACGTTAGGAGGGGGTGGAGGGGGATGGAAGACAGATTGCACTGGAGCTCTGTTGAGGTGCTGAGCAGGTCTAGTCTCACTAGATGTTACTAAATTAGAGGAAGAGGGTGGGAAGGATGAGGATGAGGTGCTGGCAACAGCCTGCAGAGGGTTTAAGCTTAGCACGGTGCTGCTAGAGACAGCACTGCTGCTGAAACTGGCTCCAAATTGATGAGGAGAGGAGGCAGAAGGCACCGCATGGTTAAAAATACCTGCAAACAGGAGAGAAAAACTCAGCTTCAACAGATGGGCTTTGTACAGTCTCAAGTGACAAGAGAAACAAAACAAAAAAGAAAAAAAAAAAAGGAAACAAACAAACACAAGCAAAATTATAATAGTTACAGCCCCATACAAAAATGTGCAGCGTGAGAAGGCAGCAAGCAATGAAGAGATAATGGTGCAGGCCAGGAGGTACAAAAGGTTCCACTTACCTTTCCTACTGCCAACCTCTAAATGCCACGAGGAAAAATGGTCAGACCCAAGAACTGTCAGTTCTATACCACACGGGCAGAGTTTTGATGAGATTAGAAGTGATCTTAGAGTTGCTTATCTGAAGACTCAAAGTGCTTCTCTTCCCTCCCCATCCTCCTGCTCCCCCACTTACAGGGCAGCAGAGGGGAGGTGTAATTCCAGCAAATCTACGTGCTGAGAGATGTGAGAGTTAGGATTTCCCGACATGGTGCCTGAATGATTATGGACAGGTAAGAAAAACTGCCCTAGACACTTAGAAATGGCAGGTTCAGCCTATCCTCTGTCCTGCCAGTTTGTCCCCGGTGTGGGCACAGAAGCCAAGCCTGTGCAGAATCCCAGAAGTGCAAGGTGCATATGGCATTGCCCTTCCTGGCCAAGAAATGCTCTTCATGTCCATTCAAGATCAGAATGCTATAGAAATCCCAACACCAGCTCCTCTGATGTTCTGCTCCTCCTGGATCATGCTAAATCCATTCAAGGCCTAAACTCAACCTTTACTCAAGTTGACAAGTTAGAGATCCTTAACATGGTAGCAGGACAAGTCAAATCTGTTACCTGCAGGCAGACCTAAGTTGGTTCCAACACAGCAACATCTGAACAAGCAAACATTATCAATCACAAAGTCTGGGTGTATTGTTTCATTAAGGTGGTACAACAAGCTCATCTAGCAGACAAAGCTCATGAGATTTCACTGTAGGGAACTGAAATCATCCTAGCAATTCCAAGAGAGAGAAAGAGAGAGAGAGGAGACTGGTTATGTGGGACAGATCTGCTTTGCATCCTGTAGAAATGAAAGGGTTTCACCCCTGGAGAGGCAGTGTCAGACTTTCCTTTAGGCCCTGTCTTATACCAGAGAAAGAGTTCTGCCTACCTCCAACTGTTCCACCTGTAACCCCAGGAGAGAAGTTCCCCATAGTGTGAGAGTTAGTCAGTCTGGTTGCAGCTGATGACACGTGGACCAGACTGGCAGCAGCTGGCATTGAATTAAATAAGGACTGCAATACTGAGGAATTTGTCACCGAGTTGAGGTTTGCTTGCAAGGCCATGGGGCCGAGGGGGAACTGCGATCCAGTGGTCAGAGTGTTGAGGAAAGGATGGTGCGTCGGGACAGACGGCGCTGGGTTCCCTGCTGAGGAAACAGCAGTAGAAAGGCTTTTACCATTCAGAAGGCCACCAGACGAAACAGCAGCAGAAATGAAAAGGTTGTGGCCGTTTTTAAACTCCACATCTCGGTCCCTTCCCTTGCCGACCTTTCCGTTGTGCTGCACAGAGTTTTTCTCCACAGCCCCCCCCGCTCGGGCGCTCAGCTCGCTGAGCTCCTTGCCCTTCACCCCCGGCCGGCTCAGCTCTTCTCCCTTGGTGCCCAGACCTTCCAGCTGCCTCTTGTTCAGGAACAGGTTGGTGTCTGACACCCCCAGGTCCTTGCCTCGCTGCGAGGGGAAGCCCAGGGAGCAGTTGGGAGCCGAGCCATCCCCAGCTTTGTGTGGAAGAGCAGCGCTGTCCATGAAGCCGTGCAGGCCCAGCTCGGAGGACAGGCCCCCGTTGTAGCTGAAGCCATTGGGGGGGTTTGTGCCAGGGCTCAGCCCATCCGAGGGCACTGCCAGGCTCTTCCTGGGGTGTCCTGGGACCTTGGTGTCCATGGGCAGCCCGTCCTCGGAGGGAGGCCTGAAGGCAAACAGGGAGTTCTGGCTCAGAGCTGACACGGCCTGCAAGGGGCTGTCTGTGGTTTTGGTCAGGTTGATGTCAGATATCGGTGAAAAAGTCGATTTCCATTTGCTGCTGTTCATGTTCTCGTTGCTTTGTGCTTGTTTCCTCCCCGATATGCTGCCACCTGGTTGCGGGGGGAAGGTTTGTAAATGTCAGTAAACAGCATTCACTCAGTCTGCCCCGTGAGAACAGGGTTTTATAGAATCACAGAGTCCTTAAGGCTGGAAAAGACTTTAAGATCATAAAATCCAACCATCAACCAGCACCACCACCACGGTTATCACTAAACCATGTCTCCAAGCATCCCATCCATTGATTTTCTGAACACCTCCAGGGATGGTGACTCCACTATTGCCCTGGGCAGCCCCTTCCAATGCCTGACCACCCTTTTAGTGAAGAAACTCTCACAATATCCAATCTAAACCTCCCCTGGCACAGCTTGAGGCCATTTCTTCCTGCCTTGTCCCTTGTTTCCTGGGAGCAGAGCCTGATTCCCCCTGGCTGTCCCCTCCTCTCAGGGAGCTGTAGAGAGTGAGGACTCCCTGAGCCTTCTTTTCTCCAGGCTGAGTTCCCCCAGCTCCCTCAGCTGCTCCTGGTGATCCAGACCCTTCTCTGAACAGCACCCACATTTTTTATCCTTCAAAACCCACCTTTAATCAGCCTGTAATTCTATTTCTGAACCAAAGGCAGAAATACTTGTGAAGTCATCTAAAAGTCCTTGAAAATCAGTTTAACACTCTGGAAAAGTCTGAGAATACTGATCTGCTTTGTCCCCCTATACCTGTACTACAGATCCCTCCTCAAACCCTGAGTCAGTGAAAAAACTGGTCAGATCTTTGTTGACCTATGACTACAGAAAGAAGTGACCCAAAATCTGTAATTAGCAGCCATCTGGCTTAATGATGATAAAGAATAACATTTGGTCTAGCAGCAAAGAGAAACATCCCACTGACTGTCAGCTTCACCCATCCCCAGGCTCAGCCATTGCCACAAACAATTCCCATTACCATTTTCACAATTCACACTTACCATTTTCAACAGTCTTCTGTGGAGATTTGCTTTCCAATGATATTGTTGCAATTTTCCTCTCAATTCTAGTGGGAAAATAGAAAGGTTACAGCAAACCTGTAGCAAACCTTCTGTTGCACATTTCCCATCACAATCTATACTACTCATGATCTTATCAAATGAGAGAGTATAAAAAACCAATTCAGTCCCACAGTTTTGTGTCACTAAAGAAATTTATAAACATCCAAAAAACCCACCACAAACTTTAGGCAGGAGCTATTACAGAATTACTGCTCTTTGACAGGATTAGTGCACATTCAGAGAACTTTTTTGTTTTCTTTCAAAACAAGAAGCAGAGACACATTACTATAGTGGTTATTTCTCTCAGAACCATAGGATGGTTTGGGTTGGGAGGGACCTTAAAGCTTATCCAGTGCCACCCCTGCCATGGCAGGGACACCTTCCACTGTCCCAGGGTGTTCCTAACCCTGTCCAGCCTGGCCTTGGGCACTGCCAGGGATCCAGGGGCAGCCACAGCTGCTCTGGGCACCCTGTGCCAGGACCCTCCCAGGCTCCTGCCATCCCTGGGCTGAGCCCCCTCCTGATTCCTGCTGAATCGAGGGGAGGAGAGGGGCAAACAGGCTGGTCTGGGGGCTGCCAGCAGGATTGGGGCGCAGGAGATGCAGCTGAGGTGGGGGTGGTGGCTGGCACATGTCACTGTGTCCTTACACATCAGCCCAGCCCCTGTCCCTGCACAGCCACCCCAACAAGCCCACCCTGAGCACCCCTGGCAGCGCTGTCCAAACGCTCCTGCAGCTCTGGCAGCCTTGGGGCCGGGACCATTCCCTGGGCAGCCTGGGCAGTGCCAGCACCCTCGGGGGCAAGAACCTTTCCCTGAGCTCCATGCCAAGCCCTGGCACAGCTCCAGCCCTTCCTGGCCTCCTGTCCCTGTCCCAGAGCAAAGTTCAGCCCCTGCCTCTCTGCCTCCCCTGGGGAGGAGCTGCAGCCCCCGAGGAGCCTCCCCTCAGTCTCCTCCATTTTTCAGTCATCTCTCCAGCAGTTATCTCCAAGGCCAGACCCTGCCAGCCTTGTAAACACAGCAGCAGCAACAGCAGGTTCCCACATTCTACTGGCTGAATACCTTCCCTGTTCACAGCTTCAACCACATAAGAGGTCTGGGATAATGGGATGGGCCTTCAAGCAAGGAGAACAAAGAGGCTTTAAACCCACCCCTCCTGCTGAGAGCTGTGTTATCAGCCCTGAGAGAAACCCTACCCTGAAACTGTGCCTGTGCATTCACCTGCTGCTATTGTGCTCATCCTCAGAGCCCTGCTCGTCATCCGATGTCAGGGGGGAGTAATGGACACCGTTGCTCTGAACGAGGGGCTTCTCTTTTTTCAGCACTGGGGGCTGGTCATTGTCCTGGTAAGGAACAGGAGAGTTCTTCAGGGAGTTTTCAGGAGAGGAAATGGCTGTTATTTCTAAGGGCTGGTTAATGTTATTGACCTGGGTGAGAAGGAAAGAAAGCAGTTACACATGAGAGTATCCCTGGAAAAGCAGCTTGTTAAGGATTTTAATGCAGGTTTAACTTGCTCTGGGACATCAAACAGCTGCTTGTTTAGCACTGCTGCTATCTTCCACCTCCTGCATCAGAACCTGGGTGAAAGCTTAAATGTAACTTGGAAAAATAGCTAATTTTCATTCATTGATTTTATGTTTAACATCAGAAATGATGACCTGGGATAAACCTTTTCTTCTCAAAATACACTGCAGGATCACATGCACATAACTCTCTAGCTGGCTTCATTAGCAAGAATGCCATATGCTTCTGGCACTCCTCTGCTGTTTAGTCAATCTTAGCTTAAACTATTTTCAAAATATTGAATCTACAGCCTCAAAAATCAACTTCACTGCAGAAACAAGCTCTTTGTCATGAGGGAAGAGATTATTTTTAATTTTTAATGCTCTGACAGCAAAGAGCTCTTTGAAGACATTCTGCTTATACACAAACTGTTCACCAACTCAGTGAAAACAAGAAGCAGGAGAATTGCTGCAAAGAACCTTCATGGCAATTCCAGCTCCAGCCTGGGAGCCTGGAGCTTATCCCTTGTGGAATCTTCTGATTCCTTCCCCCTCAGGAAATCCCCAGAGCCTTGCCTTGGAGACACTTATCATAGTCTTTCCATAGTCTTACCATGGAATTTACCCGACCTGGGTGGACAGAAAAGACTTCCCCATGGAGTCTTGCCCAACATTGATCCATCCCAGTTCCTTTCCCCCCATGTCCCAACTTCCCGTGGTTTCTCCTTTCCCTGTTTCCTCCTTGGTTGTAGTACCCCTGCTGGCCAGCCCCATCTTCCCTGAAAGCCAAAGCCCTTTGCCCTGCCCTTTGTGCAGCCCCTGTACCCCCCCCACTCAAACCTTGTGCAGAGCACATGGTTTGTCTTTTGTCCCTGGTTTCCCACTGGCATGCTGAAATAAACCTCACTGGAACTGACTATATGTTATAGATACCCATTGTAATATTGGCTTTTCACAAATATTAAAATGGATTTTATATGTGTGATATTAAAGTAACTGTGTTATAACGATATAGTTTTTATTGCTATTATTAATTAAGCTTAGACATAGTAGTGAAATAGCTGATAAAAGTGTGCTTGTGCTAAAATGCCTGCTTGGATGAGATAACATCCAATGAACACATGCTGAGGACACCTGTACAGATCTGCCAACCATCAGCACTGTCTGAAGACAATATGGACCAAGGCCCAAACTGGAAGTGATAAAGAGAAGGAACCAAAAACCACAGTCAAGAAACACAAATGCTCTAAAAAGGAGGATCCAAGGAGAGGCCATGTAAAATAGTTCCTGGGATATGTAAACTCGTTTATGGATATGCATAAGGGTCTATGAATATGCAATAGGCTGATGTAAGGAAAAAGGTGTTTAAGGGGTATCCCCAAAGGCTGAGTGCAAGATGCACCTGGCCATAATAACCTTTGCTCTATGGTCCTTGTCTCCTCTTGTCCTTTATCAAACGCCTTAAATTTTCACAGGAGAGTGCAGGTGTTTTTCACAGGCTGAAAACCCTTCCTTTATTAAACTTCTTAAATTTTCACAGAACACTGCAGGTGTTTTTCACACCATACAAAAGGCCCTTCTGCCTCTCTTTGCTGAGCTAGCCATGGTGAGTGTGGTGTGTGTGTACTTGCCTGCCCTGCCTGAATGCTCACCCAAGCAGCTTTTCCACAGGAGATGCTCACTGGGGAACCGGTAACAGCAACCACCCTCCAACCCACACTGCAACCCTGACTCCAAGAGCTCTCCCAAAGCCCAGCTCGTGCCCTTACCATGGAGTTGATATTGAGGGGTGACCCCGAGGGCTGCGTGAAGAGCCCGGCCACGGAGGGCAGGGGTTTGCGTTTCGGGGAGACGGCGGCGTTCCCGCTGGCATTCCCAGTGTTGGATCTCTTCCGCCGGCCCCGCTTCTTCCCGTCCTGCCCGTGGGCCTGGCCGCCCTCCGGCCGGGCGCTGCCGGGCACGGGGCTGTGCTTGCTGGAAGGGGATTGTTTTACATGTCCTGTATTAGGAGAGATTGTAAAGATGATTCTCCTCTTGGCCTCGTTCTCAGGATCTGAAAACGCTGCATCACACTGCAGGTCCCCCTTTGTTCCTTCGGCAAAGATCTTCTGAGCCTCTGCACTCTGCAGTCCCCCTGCCAGGCTCTGGGCCGGGCCACTTAAGCGGGGGCTCGAGTGCTGCTGAGCAGGGGAGTTCTGCCCAGAGTTCCTCATCATTAGCAAAGGATGTTGTGGAGTGGAACTCCGAGACCCTACAGAGTTAAAGAGACTCCCAGAGTCGTCCAGAGCTGCCTGATCAACACTATGGTTAAGATGGGCTGGGCTGTTTGTAAGATTTCCATTGACTGCCACGGAGCCAGAAGAGTAAGAAAAACCTGTTGAGAGGGAAAGTATAGATCATTGCTGGGGCTGAGCGAGAGAGAGGTCACTGAGTACAGGGCTGGGAGGGCCAGGAGGGATTCCAGCTCTGCCTGGAGAACAGCCAGTGGCCCTGGATTACATGGGAAACACAGGGCTGCTTTTCCACAGGGCAGTGAGAACGTGGCTCTCTGGGTGCTGAGGTGCCAGCTGGGGGTTAGGGACTTCCACTGCTCTCTTGCCAGTTCAGGAAAATTCACTGCTATATGGAGGTACCCACAGAACACGTGCTCCTCCCAGTTTTACATGGAATTTGAGTTTAAGCTTTGTTTGAACTATTACCCCTTTTGAAATCAGGGCTCCTCTACTCTCAACTCCTTCCTTTCATCAAGGAAATGGATGGCCAGACTCAGTCCTCCCCTTCCCCAAAAAGAGAAGGACTTTGCCATCCACACAGCCCACCTCCTCCAAATTCAACAAAAGGCTGGGACTTAGGGAGTGACAGGGGACCTTCAAAGACATAGTGGCAGAAAAATTCCACAAGGAAGGAACTTTGGGATGGGAATTCAGTGTTTGTCTTGGGGTAATCATAAATGGGTTTAGGGCTCTAGGATGGCCTGGGCTCTCTAAATGAAAAGGGCAGAAGGGAACAACATGGTAATGGTTTAAAACAAGGTTTTTTTAAATACTTCATTTGATTTATAGATAAATGCAGCCAAGCCCTTTGCAAAACAGATACTGAAACAACCCAAGCCCCTCGGGGTGGTAAACACTGAGAACAAAAGCACTCTTTGGTGAGGGATCAGCTGCAGAACCTACTTTTCCTGGCCCAGAGTAGCTAAAGCGCATGATTTCCACGGATGAGTGAGTCAGAAGCAATGTCTGCACCTAAAGGGATCCCCATCCTCTCCCATTTGAGCTTTTCCCACCCATGTTGTTGTGCCTTTACAGCTGCTCACGAGGCACCTCCATAACGTGTCCCGAAAAATTCATTCTGCTATTTAAAGACCCTGTAAAATACAACTTTTAGAGCCAGATCACCAGCTCAGGACACAGCTGTGTCACCAGCTGCAGACACTCTGCAGGTCACCACTGCAGATACCAGCTTCAACACTCTGCAGATATGCCACACTGTAAATCTGTGGGAATATCTGGATCCCCACAGAATTCACAGCAGCAATTGTTTCTTTACAAGTAAAGGCACATCAATCCAACCCTTTATGCCAGATGCACCCAAGCTGGAGACACATCAGAGCATCATCCATGAGTTTCTGTCTCATCCACAGTTATCCAGCACTCCAGGGCCTGCAGCACCTGGCAACAAGTGCTTGGAAAACTCAGCTGGGTGCATTTGGGTGCTGCCCAACAGAGGAGCAGCTGTGCACAGGTGAGGCTGTTACCTGAGGTAGCCAAAGCCAGAGGCTTGTTTCCAGCAGCATTGCTTATGCCATTATGAGAACTAGCACCAATCTGCTTTTCAAGTGTCGATGAGTCTCTGCTCTGGTGAACTGGGCTGGGTGTGCTTCTCTGGGGAGAGAAAAAGGCATTTCAGGAAACAGCATCAGAAATCTCCAGCTTAAACCAAATTCACATGCATTAGTACATCTGCCTGGGAAGTAGCTCTGCTTCCTGTCTGCCCCAGATTCAGCTTGTTTTGAGAAAAGCATGGATCAGCACGTTATGGGCCCAAAAAATGTAGTGATGAATTATACTGCAGTAGTATCTCACACACAGCAGGCACCATGCAGAGAGGGAGGCTCCTCATCACAGGATATTCAGACTCAGGACAGCTCTGCCAGGAGCAGGAATGGCTCAGCCCACTGATGCAGCAGGGAGGAGACTGATGGTTGTATCATGTCTCCAGGCCTGTGCTCACAAAGCTCCCCAAAACAACCCCAAGGGGAACATGAAGTACATCAGGCCATGTTCTCTGGGACATTCTCTGAGGATGTTCTCCAAAACATGGAAAACACCTGTGAAATGGCAGCCTGAACAAACAGGGAGGTGCCACCCAGGGCTGACATTACCCTAAGGACACCCAGAGCTGAGCAGACTCTGGTAGTGCTAAAGCCAGAAGTCTTCAGCTGGAAAAATGCAATGGATTTAATTCTGTGAAACAACTCCAGCTTTCCCAATATGGGAGTGAAAGACAAACCATGGATGGATTCTAACTCAGAACTCTCAGGAAAAGCAGCAAATGCTTCTCAGCTCTCTGCTGCAGCACTGCTGTGACAAACTGGTGGGAGAAACTGGACCAGGCCTTTTTGAACTCAGTGAGGCAGGGACTTGTCACATCTCCAAAAGAGATGGTCCCAGAAGCTTTCTGCTACAGAGCAGTCACTCACATGTGAGGTATCCCAGCCCCAAGGGGCTGTTCAAGCTCACCCTGCACACGTGTGAGGAGAAAATGCAGCTTTGAGGTGACTGAGACAGAAGAATTCTCTCCCAGGTTCCTGCAGAAAGCAGGGCTAAGAACTAATTGACACATGCAATTCTCTGCTTCCACTGCCACAAACTCTCAGGCTTTTCACCCAGACAGACATTCCAGACTAGGCTCTCCTGAGGCATTTACTTTACTCTCCTTCCTGGCTGAACCCCCCTCCACCCCACAGACAAAGGAGAGGAAAAATCTACAGGATCCAAGAGCCAAGAGGATGCATCCCCCAGCAGCCTCCCCCGAGGAGCAGACCTCCAGGATGAGCAGCCCACGGAGGATCCTGGGGCACAGCACCCCATTCCTGCCCACTGGGATTTCAGTTAGGGATGGAAAGTGTTGACAATCCCTTACTCACCACCTTCTCAACACGGCTAGGTAGGACTACGCTGGCCAGAGGGATACTAACAGGGAGTTTATTGGGCTGCACTGTGCTCAGAGGAATACTGATAGGGAGGCTGGTGATAGTTTCTCCATTACTCACAGAGGTTCTCTCTCTCAAAACCTGTAAAAGAGAAAGAGAAAGCAAAGTTCTTACACAGGATATTGAAAAGGTTTTTAAGGTAATGATAACCTGCTTGTTTCTTTGTGTGTGTCATTCCCCCACTCCTTTTTTTTTAAGGAATTTTTTAAGGAATGATTGCACATCAGACAGGGCAGGCGTGGAGCAGCTTGGTTACCAGCACCAGGCTCCTGGGACAGCAACATCCCACAGCACAGAAATGGGTAAATTAAGGCCACTACTGGCCCCCAGCATTGGGAAAAGGAAGCCTAAGGCAAGCTCATTTCCCTGTGTTTTGCTTAGAGCTCTGTGAAAAGCACTCAGATGTCAGATTTTGTATCTTGAGGCCCTCTGTAGCAACCAGATGCATTTCCATGGCAACCTGCTACTGTAGGGCACCTGCTGCTCTGTGAGCCCCAATATGCTCCATGGCTGCACCAATTACATGGACCATATTTTTTACTCTTTATTTTTATAACTGTGAAAGAGCCTCCTTTCCCAGTTCAAGCAGACACGTGCCAGATCAAACAGCATTCCCACTGCGTTACTGGTGCTCAGAAAGGAGCACATCTTTCTCTCCCTCTGACCAGCTCTGATTTATTGCATCACATCCACTGTATTTTCTACCATTTCCCATGCCAAGCTGGTCACAGAAAGCAGCATTCCTGCATTTTCCAGCCTGGCCAACCCTGCATTTTCCAGGCCATTCCTGCATTTTCCAGCCTGGCCAACCCTGCATTTTCCAGGCCATTCCTGCATTTTCCAGCCTGGCCAACCTGCCCTTTGCTGCCCCAGGATCAGCCCTGAGCAGCAGCAGATCCTTTACCTTCTCTCCCGCACTGGGTAAGGCCGCGGGGGAGGAGGGCCGAGTTTCCTGAGGACTCAGCTTTATGCCATTTGCAATTCCAGGGCTTGGATATGTAAGGCCATTCTCTTTGACATGCTCAGCTCTGGAAGAGAAAAGTACAATTGTCAGGATGCAAAAGCCAGTGACAAGGAATTCCTGAACCACACTCAAGGCACTGTCCCACCTTATTTACCCCATCAGCTCTCACTGTTCATTTTTGTGAAACAAAACTTTTTAAACCAGATCAACCTCCACTTTGAAAAATATCTTTTCCCAATCTAAATTACCAGTGCCATTAACATCAGCCACTACCTGTTGCAGTAAGGTAGAAAATTATAAAGAAAGGGCTGCTCTCCTGGAATCAGTGGCTGGCCTTGTCAGGCTGGCACTTTGCAAGTTCCCATGTGAAAGCAATCCTGGTGTGAGCAGTTTATTAGCGTAACAATCTATTCCTGGGTGAAAAACAACCAGCACCTGTATAAATTGTTTTTAGATTGAATAATGAAAACTATCTCTCACAAACAACTTTTCCTGCACATACACACCAGGGGTTTGAATGACCAATTAATACAGGGTAACAACTTGTTACTAACTAATAATAATTGGCAAGAAAACCACTAACCAATTGGAGTCACACACGAGGTCTGTATAAAAATGTATAAAACTGTATAAAAACAAGTTATGTGGACGAAGAAGGAGCTTTTTCCACCATAAAGAAAATGGAGTCCACGTGATTTATTCTGATATCTACCCTCCCTCCCCACCCCTCTCACCTCTGTATCTCATTAGCTGTGGCTTTTCCATTGATGCCGTGGTCCTGATTCAAGTGTCTGCGCAGGGCGATTTTAGCAGGGGAGAACCTGGTGTAATCAGGGAGGGCCAGGCTCGTCACCTTGTCTGCCTTCTGCCTGCTGCTGTGGCTGGGGGTGCAGGGCACGATGTCTTGGTCCAGGTGGGAGTTGGGGTACTGGGGGGTGTTCTGCTTGGACGAGGGCCGGCTGAAGGCGTGCTGCAGCTCGTAGGGGGTGGCGTGGCCGTTCATGGACAGCTCGGGGCTCATGCCATTGATGTGGGGCATGGGGAACTTGGAGCACTCCAGCTCCAGCTGGAACCTGCCCTGCTCAGCCTCGGGGTCACGGCTCAGGTGGCTTTTGCTGTGCAGCTGCACTGACAGGGGCTCCTCTGAGGGCGTGTAGGACTTGAGCTGCAGCAGCTCCTGCTGCCGCTGACTCTTCTCGAGTTCCACGATGCTGATCTTTAAATGAAGAGGAAAACAAAAATTAAAGACTACACCTAATAATTCTATCACATTATGGAGTTTTACTTCCAAATTCTTCTAAGTAAAGGTGTCTCTGCTTCTGGGAACAATGCAGAACAAAGGATCCTAAAGTTTGAGAGAAAATTTCTGCTCTGAGCTTAAGACCAAAAGGCCCAGGTGAGGGGAGTGGCTCAGAGACCCTGAGAAAGAACACTTCAGATCTTAAAAGCAAAAGGAAAATATCTCCAACTTACAAAAAGAGCATGGAGTACCTCAGTACAGCACAGTCACTCTGTGCCAAGGCATCCAGCAAAAGGCTGGAATAGCTCTGGAGCCAATCTCACAGGGAAAGAAAAGCTCTTCACACAAAGGAGTTCAAATTTCTTGTCACTATGAGAAATGTCACTCTGGGGGAAATGATTCCCACCCCATCCCTGGACATGTCCAAGGCCAGGCTGGATGGGGCTTGGAGTGACCTGGAATGGTGGAAGGTGTCCCTGCACATGGCAGGGGTGGAATGAGATGAGCTTTAAGGTCTCTTCCAACCCAAACCAGTCTGGGACCCTGTGATTCCTGAACTGTGACATCAGAGCACATATGAAAATCATTAGCTTGTGATTTTTAATTATATGCAATGATAAACCATGATTCCTCCTTCCACAGCATCACCAAGGAATCAGGTCATGGTATCTATTGCCTTTACAAGTTATCCACATCCTTCTTTACTAAAATCCTCTAATAGAAAGCTCAGTCTCTGGGGGAATAAATAAAGAATAAATAAAAAAGCAGCACCTGGCTCATCCTTTCCCATCATATTTAGTGTTACACCAATAACTGGCCCATTGCCCAAGAGCTACCCCAAACTGGTGACTCTGCATTTGTTTCTTGCTCTCTACCTGCAGTTCCAAACAGTGCTTTTGCTTCTCAGAAATCTGATTCTTCAAGGCCTGCTTCTCTTTCAGCAAGTTCTCCAGTGACAGCGTTGACCAATCCAGCTTCAGTTCCTCACACCGAGCCTTCAGCTGCAGGGACACACAGGGACAGGGACAAAGAGGTCAGAACACAGCACTCAACTCTGCACATCACCTGGGGTCCCAGCTGAAAGCAGGAACTTTGCACTGAATGTGCAAGAACCCCTTAACCCACTGAGTCCTCCCAGCTTTGTGCTAGGGAGTGTGGCAGGAGGGGGCCTGGCTCTTTCTAAAATAATGTTATCACCCACCGTCATTGCTTCCACATCCAGATATTCCCCTCATCTGCCTCCTGAGGAGGCTCAGCCTGGAGAAAAGGAGGCTCAGGGGGGCCCTTGTGGCTCTGCCCAGCTCCTGCCAGGAGGGGATAGCCGGGGGGTGTCAGGCTCTGCTCCAGGGAACAGGGACAGGAGGAGAGGGAATGGCCTCAGGCTGGGCCAGGGGAGGTTTAGATGGATGAAATTTCCTCACTGAAGGGTGGTCAGGCATTGGCACAGGTTGCCAGGGTGGAGTCCCCACCCCCAGAAGTGTTCAAACAACAAGTGGCTGTGACACTTGAGGACCTGGTGTTTTGGTGACCATGGTGGAGGTGCTGCTTGATGGTTGGACTCCAAGATCTTACAGGTCTTTTCCCACATTACCAGTTCCATGATTCTCTAAGTTTGAGTTACCAAGATGAGCACCACAAAGCAAGCCCTGCACAAACTCCCTGCCCAGCCAGATCCAGACCCAGTGATATCCAGAACTGTTTGGGGACATAGCTGAGGCCAGAGCCAGTTGCCACCTCAGGATTTGCTATGGGGTAAATCAAAGGTAAAAAAGGACTCCCTGCAGGTTTCCCCCCCATCACCCTCTGTTTCAAAGGACCCTGAGCAGCTGGGTGATGTTTCAGCCCCATCTTGTGCCCTGTGCTCAGCTCAAGGGCAGCATCCCCTGTTCCCAGCCCAGGGACTGCACCCACCAGCTGCAAGCTCTGGTTCCTGAGTTCACTGTTGTCCTTCTCCAGCTGTTTTGTCTGTTCTTTCAGCTGCTGGTTGTGAGCAGAGATTTCCTTCTGAGCCTGGATCAGGTCATTGTACGTCAGAGCTTTAACTCCCAGCTAGAAGGTGAAGGGTGAGATCAGTCAATGAGGTCCTGACACCCAGTTCCTGGTGACTGTCCCATTCCCAAGTGACACTGAGGACATCTACAGAACACTGCAGCTCTCAGGACCTCCCCCAGCATCCTCCAAGGCACTTTGTGGCTGCTGGGGGAAAACGAGGAGGGGCACAAGGACCTTAGAGCTGCTGTTCCACCCCTTCAAGCGTAAAACTGGCATTTAGGCTTTGCCAGCCAACAGAACTCCCTGTGGAGAATGCCCACATTTTCCTCCTGTGCTCCTGAGCTAGGTTGGCAGCACAGAGTTTGTTTGAGCAGCAGAGGATGAATCCTCCACCAAACCCCACCTGGCTGTGGTTTGTCCCCTTCCTTGGGCAGTGAGCACACAACAATTCCAAAAATAAACACAAAACATCACCAGAGAGTGACACAGTTTGGGCCTTTCTGAGCCTGATCTCCTGCAAAGCAGGGGCTGAAGAGCTGAGACTGCTCTGGTCTCACTTAGCTGGACCAGAAACGTTTGCATGCAGCTGGCTCAGAAATATCCCCCCAGCACAGAGGTACCTCATCGAGCTTCTGCTGGAACAGGCGTTTGATTTCCTCTTTCTGGGCCTGGCAGTGGGTGAATAACTGCTGGGCTGTCCCCAGCAGCTGAGCATTCTTCTCCTGGAAGAGGGAAAAACCACACTTTTAGCACCAGCAGCAGCATGAGCCATCTCAAGGAGATTTGTGGAGCACTTTAGAGTGAACCTGGAGGCAGGAGAGTTCATCCAGCCCTGTCCCAGACTCCTGAGAGCCTGGTTTTGTTGGGATGTGATACTGGTGGAGTTAAGTCAGCTGAAAAGAGCTTTTTTCCTCCTGTATGGTAAAATACAATCAAGACAGTCTTAGAAACTCATTTTTATCCTCTGAGTGCATCGTGAAGCAGCAGCAATAATCACACCCCACAGAGCAGAAATAGAACTGGAAAAGATTATCTGCATGAAATCTGCTCCCAAACAGGGAACTGGCTCTAAATCCCCAGAGCCCCAGCTCAGAGTTTCCCTGTCCAGTACTCATGGAACAGAAGCAGTAAATTAATATACACTGGGGGGAGGCAGGAACAAAGTCCCAAATAAGCCAAACCAGCTTTCCTACTTGTGCCACCATTATTTCAACAGTTCACCTCAGCCACTCACAGCAACTCCCTGCCCAGAACATTCCTTAACCAGGTCCCTGCTCCCTCAGTCCATGGCGATGCACAGCAAAGGGCAGGACAGGGCTGGCTGAAGAGCCTCATCTTCCCAGCCCCAAATGCAGGATTAGTGCAGCAAGCACAGGGAGCTTTGGGATTATCCTGTTCTCCACCTTGTGCTGCTGAGGCAAAGAAGGGATTGCACAGACTGAGCCACTCCAGGAAAAGTGGGGAACAGGGGCAAAAAGCACCTTGATCCTTCCCAACCTTAATAATTCCATGACTGATCTTCCAAGCAAGGAAGCAGCTGTGCTGGAAATTGCCCACATGCAGGAAAACACAGACCTGGCTTGGGAAAACAGTCCCTGCAATGCTAAAGGGGCTGCTCTGGGGGATGCTGGAAAATCAGTTTTGTTTTCAACACCAGGCATTTCATTCAGCCTTCCCAGGCACTGCAGGGGCTGACAGCTCCATCTAAGGGCTCTCTGGGAAGCAGCAGCTGATTTCAAAATCATTGCTACAGAGAGATTTTTATTGCACTTGAAAACCTTCCTGTAAGAGGGAGTTACTGAATAGACCATACCCAGCCCCTCACCCAGCCAAGTTCTGCCTCTGTCAGGTTTAATTTGCCATGTAACACTCCATAAAAAATATTTTCATACTGAATTCCTCATTTTAACATTTAAAAGTGTGGAGCAGCTGTTGGAAGCCATCACCAAGTGATGACTTTTCCACACCCATGATTCGTTCTCTGTGCAGGGCACAACCTTGCACACCATCATTTCATTTGTGCAGAAGACAAGTTCACTTCATGCTGACTTTCCTGACAAGTGCAGAACAAGCAGAAAAATCTGCTGCTTAAGGAAAAAGATGAAAGTTCTAAGTGCTGATTGACTGCAAAAGCAAATGGAAATAAGCACAGAAAAAATGGTTTCCATGAACACCAGACCAGAACCAACCACTTCTCAGTAAGGAATGGGGTGGCTAAAGTTAATCTCTCTCCTCTGGAGAGTTCCCAGTGTGGAAAACACGATACAAAAGACCTGTGGCTTTCTTCTGACACTCTCACAAAGACTACAGAGTAAAGGAAAGCTTCCACAGGGAATGCCAAAAGCTGGACCTGGACAGAATTCCAGAATGGTTTGGGTTGGAGGGGTCCTCAAAGCCCATCCAGTGCCACCCCTGCCATGGCAGGGACCCCTTCCACTGTCCCAGGCTGCTCCCAGCCCTGCCCAGCCTGGCCTTGGGCACTGCCGGGGATCCAGGGGCAGCCACAGCTGCTCTCGGCACCCTGTGCCAGGGCCTGCCCACCCTGCCAGGGAACAATTCCTGCCCAAGATCCCATCCAGCCCTGCCCTCTGGCAGTGGCAGCCATTCCCTGTGTCCTGTCCCTCCAGGCCTTGTCCCCAGTCCCTCTCCAGCTCTCCTGGAGCCCCTTCAGGCCCTGCAAGGTTTTAAGTGGAAGTCCAAGTTTAATTCTGAGCATTATGGGGAAAGCTCTTCCACAGAAATAGCAGAACAGACTCATCAAGGGTAATTAATACATCAATGAAATCATTCATCACTGAGACAAAGCAAGGCAAGGAGGTGTTCAGGCAGGAGATCTCCTCCCTCTGCTGGTGGCTCCATGGCAGACAAACATCCCAGTGCACAGCTCCAGGACCCTCCTTGCCTTTCCACGTTTTCCTGTCCATGATTTGAGACATTTACACTTGGCCCATCAATGCAATCCAATCCATTCAGATATCAACACCAAGGGTGCTCTGAGCTAAATCCCCACAACCAGTGATGACACTTGGGGTTGCTGAATCCAAGTTCTATGAACTGTGGTTTATAGAATCCTGGAATTGGTTTGGGCTGGGAGGCACCCATCCCTAGAAGTGCCCAAGGCCAGGCTGGACAGGGCTTGGAACACCCTGGGACAGTGGCAGATGTCCCTGCCATGGCAGGGGTGACACTGGATGGGCTGTGAGATCTCTCCCAACCCAAAGCACTCCAGGATTCTGTGATTTTAAGTCACCATTGCAGGTGTCAGAGGGAACAGGGGAGGTGCAGCTCTCTCATTGTGCAGACTTAAACACACAAAAAATGAGTTTAGCAACAAAATCCCCTGGCAGTTGTTCAGCCTAAGCACGACTGGTGTAATTGCACACAATTCCCATCTCCAGCACTCTTCCCCACATCCAAGGAACTTCAGAGTCTGGTAATTTTGTTTAGAAATATTAAAAAGTGAGACCCACCTTTTCCTGCTCCAGTAACTGTTGCAGGCTTGCTTTGTACTGAGGAGTTTTCATGTATGCCATGAACTGCATGTACTGGATCTTAAATGAGTCTGCAAAATAAATCAGATGAGGAATTTCAGCAGGGGCAAATGCCATGCCCCTCTCTGCCCCCATTTCCTCCCTGGCCACCTCTCCTCACTTGTCTCTCCCTTGCTTTTGATTTGGACTCCAAGTCAGATTAAACCATGAAAAATGGAAATAAAATAATAAATTTAAAAAATGAAAATAATTAATAAATAAAGAGATAAAATAAAAATAAATCAGATGAGGAGTTTCAGCAGGGGTAAATGCCATGCCCCTGTCTGCCCCCATTTCCTCCCTGGCCAGCTCCCCTCACTTTTCTCTCCCTTGCTTTTGATTTGGACTCAAAAGTCAGACTAAGCCATTGAGGATGGATTTAGGAACATGCTGAAAATGCCTCTCCTGGCACAAAAGGAACTCTTGAATCCATCAGGATCCATCCATGGGATGACCCCATCCACCCTGCCTTAAACATTCCTCAAAATCACTCCTTTGCCACAAAACATCCCTTCCAAAAAAAAAAAAAAACCACAAAATGTCCCTCAAAAATCACTCTTTTGCCACAAAATATCCCTCAAAATCACTCTTTTGCCACAAAATATCCCTCAAAAATCACTCTGTTGCCACAAAATGTCCCTCAAAAATCACTATTTTGCCACAAAATATCCCTCAAAATCACTCTTTTGTCATAAAATATCCCTCAAAAATGACTCTTTGGCCACAAAATATCCCTTAAAATTACTCTTTTGCCTAAAAAAAATTAAAAATCACTCTTTTTGCCACAAAATATCCCTTTAAATCACTCTTTTTCTCTCTCTTCCCCAAGGAATCAGCCGTGACTGGCACAGCAGCAGGAGAGCCCAAGGTAAGGACACCTCTGATGCCCTTGGTCCCCAGGCAGGACCCCTCTGCCACATTCCCAGAGCATCCTGGACTGGCTCCTGCCCAATGCCAAAAGCCAGAAACATCTGGGAGGGGACAGGCAGCAGAAGATAAAACAAAAAATAACCTCCAGGTTTTTCCTTAAATCAGCTCCTGCATTTTCCAACCACACCTTTGTGAGCTCAGCCTCTCAGACAGGACCCCATTTATGGGCTCTGAGCTCAGCAGAGGAATTGGAGTGGTGTTCCCCAGGATTAAGAGAATGGTTTCATTTCAAATAAAGCTATTTCTGACTGTTCCTGCTCAGTCCAGGCTCGCTGCCTGTTGTGCCAAAGGAGAGCTGAAACAACATCAGAGAGCAAATGTAGAGTGAAACACCAAGTTCAGCAGGAGGGGGGACTTGTGGAGATACCAAAGGATGTGGGGCAGGCAGGGGAAGGTGGGGAGGAGAGAATCCCCCTCCTGCCACATGCAAAACCCCAAAGGGGGGGTGGGCAGGCCTTACCTAGCAGCTTCTGTAGTGCAGGGGGGGTGGGTGTCACCAGGAGCTGGTTGGACGAATGCCGTTGCACTTTAGGAGGTAGTTGGTAAAATGGGCTATGAGGTGACTTGTAGGCATCTGGAGAGACACAAACACAACCTCAGGTCAGCACCCAGTGTTTGGGAAAAGGATGGGAGCTTTATCATGGAAAACATGGCACAGAGTCCAGGAATTGGTTTGGTTTGGGAGGGACCATCCCTGGCAGTGCCCAAGGCTGGCTTGGACAGGGCTGGGAGCAGCCTGGGACAGTGGAAAGTGTCCCTGCCATGGCAGGGCTGGCACTGGATGGGCTTTGAGGTCTCTTCCAAGACAAACCATCCTGGGATTCTGTGATTCTAAGTCACCATTGCCAGTGAGGCATAGAGAGAGATTTGTAATGAGATCCAGCAGCTTAGTCCATCAACACAGAGCTCCAAACACATCCACACACTGATCCAAAGTGCTTGGAAGAGTCTCTGTGATCCATCCCAAGAGCAGCAGCTGAGAGAAGGCAACAGCCCCAGCTCCTGGCTGAGCAACCACAGACAGATCCCACCCCCAGCCCCATCAATACATTAATCACCATCAATCACCATTAATCCCACCCCCAAACCATCAGTACATCAATGCCATCACCATTAACACACTAATCACCATCAATTCATTAATCCCACCCACATCCCCCTTAACACATCCATCACCACCACCACCACCTCAAGGGCAGCTCTGCTCTGGTGGCAACAGGGAAGTCATGCCAAAAAATCCAACTCAACCTGGCAACAAAGGAAAAACCAGCACATCCAGAGCCTCAGAGACTTATCCAGGCTCCTCCACACCCCTGCACTCACCCTGAGGAGAGGATGAAGATGTCTGGGAGACAGTCTGAGCATGCAGAAGTTCTAGTGCAGTTTGGTTCTTCTTGGTCTTGCGCTCAGTGCTCGCCGTGTTCATTTTCTTGGGGCGCCCTCGTTTCCTCCCTGCCATTTTCCTGCCTTTCTTACTCAGCTTCTTCTTCCTGGCCTTGGAGGGAGATGGCTTTTTAACAGAATTTGCTGCAGCTTTTTCTTCTTCAGCACCAGAATCCTGGGAGATTTTGAAAAAAAATGGTCATATATCATATCAGAAATAATGTTTCTAAAAAGAAACTGATGCATTGTAGACATTGTGGACTTGCTTGGAATAAGAGTTGTTCCCAAGCAGAACAGCTCATTCTCTTCTGGACTTATTCATTGTGGGAAATGGATTTATAGAAAATTTTTTAAATTTGACAGAAGGCTTACAGAGTGTGTATCTGTATGTAAACTGTGAAATAAGAAATGCTGACTTAGAAGTGCCATGGAATAGGACAGACATTGTTGAGAGAGAAATGGAACTAGAAATAAGTTTCAATGGATGGCCTTGCAAATAAGCCTGGATACTTTGGAGAAACAGAACAGTGAAAGATGCATTGTGGTAGGACCCATGAGGGGTAATTTTAGATTACTGGCTTTAAGGCATTTACAGCATGGTGTGGCAAAGGCTGATAGGCCAAGAAACACTTATAATGTACTGTAATTAGAAAATAGTTAATTTCTGATTGTGATGGTGTGAATTATAACACCTGTTTCACCCTTCTCATGAGACTGAAAATAGTTTTTAAAGCCCCTCTCAGTTGCCCCATCCCTAAGTCAGAAAAAATCTAATCCAACAATTCATTAAAGAAAAGAAAATGCTGAGGGAGGGGAACTTCAGGCAGGGCTGGATGGGATCTTGGGCAGGAATTGTTCCCTGGCAGGGTGGGCAGGCCCTGGCACAGGGTGCCCAGAGCAGCTGTGGCTGCCCCTGGATCCCTGGCAGTGCCCAAGGCCAGGCTGGGCAGGGCTTGGAGTGACCTGGGACAGTGGGAGGTGTCCCTGCCATGGCAGGGCTGGCACTGGATGGGCTTTGGGGTCCCTTCCAGCCAAACTGTTCTGTGATTCTGTTAAATCTGTACCTGCTGTCTAACAAAAGCTGATTATTCATCCTTCCCTGACTACATTCTTCAACTGAATTTCACTCAAAGCTCAGAGCACAATCAATACTTTATATTTTTGGCCATGAACAGGCAGTGCATTTCTCACAGCATTACCCAAGAAAGGAAATGAGTCTTTGCAGAAGACTCAGCACACTCTGAACTCCATTCAGTGGGCTGTGACTCAGGGACAGCTCTGCAAACTCCTGCTGGATGCAAGCGAGGGTGGACAACCAGCTATTCATCTTGCAACACCTTTTTTTCTTTCTTCCAGAATTAGTGGTGCAACTCCCAAGAGCAGCTTTTATTAACTCACTCCATCATATTTTTGGGCACAGCAACAGCTCCAGAGTAAAACCTTCCCACAGAGCCAGGCTGCTCCTGACTCAGAGCATGAGCTCAGGCACAGGAAGCACTCAGCACCCAGAACTGCAGGATGCTCACCTTGTTTTCCTGGACCTTCGTTGGAGTCGTTGTGTTACTTTTGTTTTCTCTTTGTTGACGACGTCTAGCTGCCTCTTGTTCCTCCTGGGGAGGAGGGAGGGGACATTTCACCATTTGCTCATGTGTTTATCACTTTTTAATACAGATCATCTTCTTTCCCAGCTTCATTTTCCACAAGAAAAGGGAACAAACTCCCTCTTGGCTCAGGCCATACTCGGGTGTGAACAAATCCTTTTCCACCTCCAGAGGGGATTAAATCTCAACCTCTTCCCATATTCTCCCCTCCCAGCCCCATCCTGTTGTATCAGGTTTCTTTTTAAATATTTGGGGGTTTTATTACTATTATTGTTATTATTTATAATATCATATTAATATTATATTAATGCTATATTAATATTGTACTAATATCATTAATATTATCATTAAGTGTTGCTGTTATTGTTATTATTATCATTTAATATATATCATATGTAAATAATATGGTAAAATATATATGAAATATACTATATATACACGTTATTATGATTAAATAACAATAATAACAATAATACTAGTAATAATACTAATACTACTAATAATAATTTAAAATTATAATTATAATAATAATAAACATTTCAATAGCTTCCCCACATCCCCAACCTTTCATGGTGACACTTAATCTTCCATGACTGGAAATGGTAAAGCCATTAATCATCATCTTATTCAACTTCAGCCAAGTTTATTGAGGTGACTAATCAAAAACCAAAGCAGCAACTTTTCAGGCTGATTTTCTCCCAGGCTGACAGGAAATTTCCCTGTTCAGAGAAAATCTCTTTTTCTCTCAGAAAAAGAACAAAACTTCTTTCAGACAGGAAATTTCCAGGAGCTCAGTCAAAGCCTTTCCCGCACCTTCCAGGTGAGGTTTAATCTGCAGAAGATTTCTGGCATTTCCAACATCCCTTTGATTTAAGCACATTATCAACCAAAACAGTGGCAGGTTTAAGTGTGAAAAGCAGGGAAGGTCAGAAGTACCCTGTTTTTTTGTTTTTTTTTTTTCTCTAAGAAGTCTTTTTCGCCCCAAATTTGAGTGGAGCAATCTGAAACAATTCCCCTTCAGAGCCCCCATGAGTCTGTTCTCATACAGAGCCAGTCAGCCTGAGGATGAACATTCACCTGAAATTTTAAATTAAGTGGCTTCACTTAATTCTCTTCCTGGGAATCCATTGATTATTTCAGGTTAGCACAGCCCTGCACAGTCCCAAAAACTCTCTGGCATTTTAATTCCACATGTAACAGCCCAGACTGCAGCAAATGACAACTCACTCTGTGCCTCCAATGGCACATCCCAAAAGGAACATTTCAGAGAATTGTTCAGCTTCATTTCAGGAGCTGAGCACTGGGACAGATTCAAACCATCATTCCCTTCTTTAATTCCAGTTCTTTAATGAAGAAATAGCTCATTACAGACCTCCAGTGCAAGGTAAAAGCACCTTGGGGCTGCCCCATTAATTCTCTATTAGAAATCCCTTGGACATGATTGAATTAGTGCTTGATGGCATCTGAGACTTCCCGTCAATTAGCTCCATGTTCTTTGCCTAGCAAGAAAATCTGATTTCCAATCAATTCTGTCCACCTGTGATTAAATTCCTCACAGTGGCTGTTCCCTTACTTGGAGTTTTCTACAGAAAATGATTGAAACTTACCCTGAGTTTTGGATTTTTGAGACTAGAAAAATAGTTTTCAAGCTGAAAATAGAAAGAGAAGAGAGTCATCCTCAAAACCATGACAGATGAACACAGAAGAATAAAATATTAGCTTAAAACAAGTGCAGAACTGCAGAAATTCTGACTGCTTTGCCTCTGATAAGCTACATCAAGAAGCCATTTACATTCATTCTTTCCAGGCAGCCAGCCTGTTGTGTAACAGGGCATAATCCAACCTCTGCAAGGTTTTATCATCCCCACCACTGCCTGGCCTTGTTTTAAAGCTTTTGTCACATATCTCCCCTCAGCAGAGGCTGATTTTCAATGAAGTTATTTGCACTGAAGATGCTGCACCCTCGTACTCCAGCATTTATCTGCACTCTGGCACATTCCTGAACAAAAGCTTTATTAGACTACAGCAGAGTAAGGAAAACAGCCTTACTATCCCACTGCAAAAACCTTGGGGTGGGATAAATAATTTGTCCCAAAATTTTTCATTTCCAAAGGCTTTGTTGGGTTTTATGAGGGCCTTGGGGGATTTTTGGTGGGGGGTTGGTGGGGTTTTGGG